AACAAACTCCATGCAAAGAAGCCTCTCACTCCCAGATACTATAATCAAACTCTAAATATAGGAATATAAAAAGCTTCAGAGTCACGAAGAGAGAGAATGACAGTTTTTCTTTATCTTATATGCTCAGCAAAACCCACGGCCAGCAAGAAAAACTTTACGGAGGAGTGGATTTATGCTGCGCACTAACTGATGACGTTCATAGATTGCCAAAGGCAGTACTCGGTAATAACCGGAATGCCATCGTAATCTCCCGGGGTGTGTTAATAGATCGGTGACGTAAATTATTGATTTGACGTCACAAATGGCGAACAGCACGACAAAATATTTCGATACAGTTTTCTGTAGCGGGCGGGTGATTTAAATATATTAGCGTTACAATATATTGCGAAATCGGGTGCTCCTGCAGTTCGTGAACTGTATACCAGCTATTTGTTTCGGCAAATTTTTCAAATATATTTATGCTTTTGTATGTAAATATATATATATCGGTAGGAAAATCATAACCAAAGCACGTTATTGAGTATAAAAAGCGCTGGATCCGCCATGCACTAGCCGTGAAACAAACACCTTTTATATATATAATTCGCTATAATTACATGCATGAAATTGAAAAGGAGAACTGCCTCTCAGTTTTATATTTTCGTGGCAGCAATTAATGCATGTGTTCATTTCGAAGCGCGAAAACTTCTACAGCTCCTGTTATAAACATCAGTAGACTGACAATATTTCTTTCAAGAATGTTAAGATTGCACAAAGACGTTTTATCATTGTACACATGCATGCAACTAGTGTAGTGATATTACTGTCTTTACTGGCATTAAATAATATATATATATTAAAAGTTACACTGATACGTGATCTATATAAACAAGGCTCTCTTGTATATGCTATATATATGGCATATTGATGGCAATTAAGTTATTTTTAGGAGAAAAGGCTTAATTCTTTAGGAAGAACTGAACTTCCAGGCAATAGTCGGAAAACGTGAAAGAAAGACTTTAAACTTTACATCTGCACATCAATCAGGCTCACACACCCCATAGGAATTCAACTTGAGTACAACGATTGATAACATTTGTAAATCGGTATCAAAGTTACCGTCAATAAAAGTGAGAAATTGCGACGCGTTGGCGAAATGCGTCGGTGTCTTTCGTCAGCCTTTATCTTTTAGCTCGTAACAGCGTAGACCTTCAAATATAGATATTTTATATTCTGAGAAATGATTTCCAGTAAACCATGAAAGAAGACGGCTACTACGGCGAAACATGATCAATATATCGCGAAAGAACAAAACGAAAAACACGATGCGTGATCTCCCTAAAATTGCACGCAGACATGCAGAAATGTTGCCATGGATGCTTAACAGCAATCTAAGTTGGGGGGTGAGATTAAACACTAAACAGACTTATTAATGAAATCTGTAAAAGAAGAATTGAAAGTTGTCTTTTCTTATTTGTTCCTATATACGCTTCTAATGTAGAGGCTCCAAAATTGGCCATGATAAAGTGCCTTTTAATTTCCTATAACTGATGAAGAGCGCTTAAACAAAAAATAAGAACTATATACTATACTAGTTTCAGAACCCGATGATACAGGGCCAGTTGTAGCAAGCCCATAGCTTAAACGGTGGATAAGTTCAAAATAGAAAGCAAGTCTAACGTTTTATTCAACAAGCGAACTAAATGTAAGAGTGTTATTTAATTTAAGCTAAACGGGCTTGATGAAACCGCGGCCCCAGCTAACGAGCATGTCTGAGCAAGTAATTAAGGCAGCACTTTGCCTATATCTTTGCGTAATACAAGTCAGTAAAAAAAAATTATGCAGATATAATCGTTCGTTCCATGCTTGTAAACTCGCCCACGCTTTCAAAGGGCTATCATGTGGTGACCTAATACGATGACGTTCGTATTCGAAATGTTGAAATACTCGCTGTCACAATTAAGACACCAGGTAATCAAACATCGGTGACGGTGGAGGGAGTTTGCAATATTCTTTCAAGTATAAATACAGTCAACAGGAGATATATAGTATACGCATATGTTGTCTTGATAAATAAACAGTATATATGTATACATACACATATGCAAAGTATGTAAACGTAAAATTTCCATAGGCTTTTTTATTACTTTTAAGCTTGGAACTAAATGCATAATATGGGGGCTTCCCCTGAGACTTTCACCAAACTGCTTACAAGTATGGCTGAATTTCAAAGTTTACCATTTTTTACAAATTGTAGACATGCAAGGGCGTATAAACCGAGACGAATTCACGTTACTTACATAGCTACTTTTCTCAATTGATCATTTTAATATATACTGAAGGGTTATACGAAAATGTTTCGTTATAACGAAACAAATAATGAATTTCTGAAGATTTCGTTTTTCTCAAAATACTTTAAGTCACTAGATCGATGTTGAAGATTACCATGGATTGTCTGAGGATGCACTAGAGTAAAATGTCCTCAACGATCAGTTTCTACGAATCCTGAATCCAGATACAAGTGGTCGTTTTTTGTCGAGATTCTCTCCCATACTCGCCTGAATACTGAACTATTAAGCCTGTTCTGCCACTGGTATGCACTGCATGTATATATATACGTATGATGCGAAGAGAGATCTGAAATACCGTAACGTAAATGGTCTACGAAAAATCACTTTCACCCCCTACTTGTTATCAGTTTCCGCGAGCAAATTCGCCAATACCGCTATAGTGAAGAACGCGTTAGACGGTTACATGCACTCATATCCGGCTACGTGGGAAAGGGGCTTAACTTAAGTCATGCGACTTACTCGTACACATGAAGTGTCCGTGATCTTTTAACGTAGAAAGACGTCATATATGAAGAATTATAAAAAAAGGGGATTGCAGATTATGTTACAGGTATATTATCCGAGAACCGTGATCGCCATGATCAGGCAGTGTACAGAGTGTGGCAATTGCATACATGCGCGTGCATTTTCTTGTCGGATGGGTTTTCTAATTTGGAGGGCCGTAAAAACACGATTAAACATGTCGAAGAGAACGTGCTCGTTTTAGAGTCTTGAACGTTGAAGTTCTTGTACATTTTCAAGTTGTCCTGCATCTAATGCTATATATACATAGCTTTTATCACAACCAACCAATGAATTTCGGAGTAACTACATGAATAACGATCCAATGGCATGGTTATATAGCTATATATATATATACAAATTTCAAAAATATTTTTATAACCGGCAATTCTACAAGGCTTTTCAATGTCGGCAATGTCGAACTGTTTTAATTTAACTGATTTTTACCCGCGCGAGTGTAACTTTTAATATGTTTATTTCTCACTCTAAATCTGCCATCGTCATCGAAACACGATTTCGCAACTGATTTGCATGCAACAGTTAGATGCTAGTTCGTACGTCGCATTTCGTTCGATTGCAACATATATAAGTGTAGAGACAACTATAGATGAGATAAAATTGTTATCTTTTGTTTAAATTGCATTTGCATGACGTAACAAAATGCGACGAACGAGTCGATAAAATTCTAGACTCATGCATCTTCAGTGTGTATAGATAATTAAATCATGCTAACATTTCCGATGAATGAAAGTTGCACGTTTGGCATACACAGTAAATGAGGCCATGATTTGGGATTTCGTTTAGATCCACTAAATTGCCGTCTGAAAATTTCCGCGCGTACAAGTTGTTATAAGTCCGTGTGTGTGCTTCGATCTGTATAGATACAAGACGCCAGTGTCGTATAATGCCGGGAAACCCGGGATATATTGAACCAAAACACGTGGCTCTTATATATTACGATCATTCACAAGCAGAGCTATATACAGTGGTTCGTTGAAAAAAAACATAACAAAAATACACCCCTTGACTTTGTCTCTTTATTATTAATGCATGCTGCAGTCCACATTGCAAAGCTGCGTCAGTATACATATAAAATTCAGTTTTTTATCATAATTTTATTTTTAGTCACATCTTGAAGCGTCGATTAATTCTTTTTAAGCAAACAGCAAGTCGTATTATTTTCACGTACAGTACGTATATATTATACAGGAAAATTGTATATTCTTAATTCTTTATACTTTATTCCTCATTATTATTTCGACTTAAAAATATCTTCATGCCGATTAACCAAACCGTAGGGCTATATATGTCAATAGCAGGAGTTGCCGGCTATGTCCCAACGACACTCAAACAATTTAGTGCGACAATGCAGTATAGTAGTGCATGAGATAAATGAAATAATTTCTTTTCCCTTCGAACTATATATATTATATATACATTCTCTAGATACGTCTATTACCTAACATCTGGCGACTTAATACTCCAGTAAAATCATTTGGGTATAACGCAGTACTGTTTTATTGCAATATATTTGTCATGACGGTTACATATATAATTCTACAGTTCTCATGCATAACCTTAACGGCTTAAGACAATACTGTAACAGCGCAGAATATAATTTTATAATAACTAAACAAAGACCGTTTGACATCTCCATCAGTAAACTCACCATTAAAGTACTCTATCACATGCAGCACGCCGTAAAAGATCTATTTAACTCTGTTTGACGCTCGTGAGAAGTTACTATTCCGAGCGATGGTTGACGTCAGTCGACGACTTATGCTCGTGTTGCTTTAAGTACGCGAGCGCTTGCCGAACAATTATCGAGTTAAAATTATCGTGATACGAACGTCAAACGGCGCCCAACGATCACGCGACTACGTCAATATATGAGATTCATTCGGTATCGTTTTCAAATACGTGAGGCGAAATTTCGACCAAAAAGCAAGAAAATTATATCCGAAAAGCTTCAAAGCACCTTTCAGATGCTTATTGTATTACCTTTAAGATCTTGAGCTTCAACATGCGTCGTTTCATAAAGAATCTTGCTACCTGCGAGCGAATAGTTTAGTATGCTTTGACGTCTCGGCAAAGCTTCATACGTAAGAGATACTGTGGGGGTCAATAGCCAGCCCAACCCTTTTCCGTGGCTTTAATATAAAAAGTTAGTACAATGGCTTGCAACATGGTTATTTGCTGTAGACGAACGAAGAGGTGTAACACACAAAAATATTTTACAAACGCAACGAGGTTTCGATTACCGAATGTTTCGTGGCTTGTTTTGAACGGAAGTAAGTAGGCACGAATAGTAAATATATTAATAAGACAAGAATATTATATGAACTATGTTATGAATGCAGTGTTAGGTCACTGAGGACTGTTACAGAAGGCTCTAGTATTTTGTAGAGGCTTCGCATACAGTATAAAATATTTAGTGGCTTTTTCCAGCGAAAGTTTAACGTAAAACGGATTACATGTGAAGACATTACATGAATGCTATTTCATCTTTTAATATTGGCTAAATTTCTGAATTTTAGCCATGGGAATATACATATTGTAACTAAGTTTACGAGCAAGTTAATATACAAAATTATTATACTCGTCGGTAAATGCATATCTATACAAAGCCTGTACATCGTACGATATTGCAGAAGAAATATTTCTTTGTTTGTATTCATAAATTTAGATTCGGCAAACAAAATTCGGCCGATCACTATCACAGGCTTTTATTTTGTAAACTTAGGACACAATTGTAAACACGCGTCAGGGGAATTGCTGTATGTATATAGCAATAATAATGGTAGTTTAACGTAAATCCATAATATAGGAAGTAACGTAAATCCAAATAGCTTTAAGATCGTTTTTAACGCAATGATACTGTCATAAAATTTTTATATCACCACAAACATTGACCTGGCATGCAATAAATAAAATTCTGCATCGTTCACTGATCCTTCTCTATCATACGGTGTATAAATGCATATGGTCAATGCTAATTCTGTGCTAATGTACAGTGTCCATATTGATGGCAAAGTGTATTTATATTGATGTTATAAAGCTGTATAAAACTCGTATTCTCGCCGAACCGCTATAACCACATATAATATATAAGCATGCAAGCGATTACTTTTACTATATGCTTTTACTCGCGTGCGTGTTACACAATAGCATGCCGAAAACCAATATCATTTGATGACGTCTACTTTTTTATGCAGCAAGCACCGACCGCATTATATAGTGCTGCTGCATTGGCTTGGCAATATAAAATTATTCACTAACAATGGGCATAATTAATACTACCGACTTCGAGCGAAATATACTCTAAAAAAGTATATCTGAGTCGTGATATCATACTCACCCTACCAAACTATAGGACTATCCTATAGGATTGGGTTAATAATACATGAAGGTTTGTCACTCAAATCCATGCATAAAACTTTTTTCATGCACGTTCTTTAAATCTTAAAGGGCTTGATACAACCGGGCCCTGAATGTACAAATTCAATTTTTAAAACAATATATAAAAGCAAAAAGTAATTTTAGGTGACAACACATCAAACATGTAGTATATAATAGACACGATCATTTTCTAAGTGATGGCTCGAAATAGTCTCGTAATTAATTATATCCAAATGATTTATTTAAAAATCTTGTTAGAAACTAGTCAAAAAGAGATTGTTTTAGACAACGAGCGTGCTATAGCCTGATAGGAACATCCATGCATGGTCACTGACCTTGCTACGTTTTTACTGAGACTGGGTCGAGCAGAAATGAAAACGTGTGTAATGTAACAATGTTAAGTAATGGCATTTCGCCAAATCTGGAAAATTGAACTTCCTTTTCCACAGGTGTTTGTAGTAATGTAATCTGTTATTGATAAAACGGTACTGTATTGGTTTTACTTCCTTTGCTTTCCCGTTCACATTGCAAGCAAACAGGCGATAAAACATCCATTAGGAGTGAATTGTATTCGACGGTTATTTGAAAGCATTTGCCGGATTCGATGCATGCTTTATACTATAGACGTATTGGCATGTGATGACACAGTTATCTCAGAATATTACCATTTCAGAATTTTTTGACCATGCCCCACTGCATGGTAGAGAAAGAATCACTGCTTATAATAAACGCCCTTTTTACAAATATATATATATATAGTTAATTTAAATACTCTGGTCTACCAAGCCCACGTACATATATTGTCAGATAAAGGACGATAGTATAAACTTAGCTACCTTTATTCAGAACAAGGTTTCCTGCGTAAACGGACATCCTCGTCTGAAGTGTGATATTTCAGGCTGTAGAGTGGTGCAATACTAAAATAGAAAAACAGTTATTAAGCAATTTTCATGTCGAAACAAGAAAGAAACTTATTATTATAACAGCCAACGAGTCAGCAATGATTTAATATAGACTAGACAGCGTGGTTTGACTTGATGCATGCAGGCGAGCCAGGTGTGACATATAGTTTCCTATTTCAGTTGTGAAATCCACTCGGTGTATATTGTGAAATATAACGCAGCTGCATTTGTTACAGTTTAGTAAATATTAAAGCAGTGATTGATAGTTTTATACATATATATATATATATATAGAGCATTTGAGAGTGGAATAAATTTAGAGGTAATGGCAGTAAATAAGAGCTAGTTAAATGCTGTCTGCACAATGCAAACCACATACTGTTTGAAAACACAAAGTGTAAGCTTTAGTGTTAGGTTGATGTTGACAAAGTATTGGTTTACGAGCAAAACCTAAAGCACGAGAGTTATTTTGCTACAATTCTCATAAAATATTGTTTATCAAAATTATTCACGCTTATCTACTCCAGAAAGCGGAGGCGGAAAATAAAATTCACTAAAGTAGTTGTTAACTACAACCGGTTTACAGATCGATGATATATGCATGCATTAACTCGTAAACAAATGTGATGACAGTTGTGGCAACATTATACAGCTCTTAATCAACAATTTGCTTTTCTTTTGTAGCTTTATCAGAGAAACAAGACTTGACATTCAAACCAGCTTCGTGTGATCAATATGCCTACCGTAAGACCAAGAACAACAATCTATTTATGGGAGTTTCTCCTTCAACTGCTGGACGGTGAGGAGAGCTGTGCAGCAATCTCCTGGGTGAACCGAGAACGTGGAGAGTTTGTCCTCAAAGACCAGAGTGAAATAGCCAAATTGTGGGGAAGAGTTAAAGGCCGACCACGCATGGATAAGATCAAACTTGGACGTGCTATGAGGTATTACTACAAGAAGAAACTGCTCGCCAAGGTATGATCATCTTCTATGAAACACGGCATGTAAGATGTCTCAGGCCTAGTTCATACGTCGCATTTTGGTCGCGTCGAATGCAATTCAAACAATAGATAATGAGATGGTATAAACCTTATTCAGCCTCATTATCATCTCATTATCTATTGTTTGAATTGCACTCGACGCGACCAAAATGCGACGTATAACCTAGGCCTGGATGAATTGTATTGTTGTCCTGTTATCCCCCACTAATCTGCATGCAGAGGTTCGCTTTACGAACTCAACAATGACCATCACGCGTAGGCCTTTTGTTTGTTTGTTAATCCGCATTACAAGAATTTAGGTTTTTAAATTTGCATTCCTTATTTTCCTCGTTCATTTCATCGTTCAATAATAAATAATGAATGATGCTAGCTCCGCTAACCTTCACTATCTTTTGTCCTAAACCAGACCTAAACTGGCTAAACTAAAAACCCAATTATGTAGTTGAAAGAATTTTATACCAAATTGACCATATATATAAAGCATTAAAACGGCATTTTTTATATTTTTCCAGGTCCCAAGACGAAAAGCAGTTTATCGTTTTACGAAATTTGACTATCTGAAACAAAAACAATCCGAAATAATTCGCCACGAGGATTTTCCTGAGGTCGACTTTAGCGGCAACCAAATACTTGATCTAATCAACGATGACAAGTCTGAAGGCGAGTCAGTCGCCCCGGAAGTGGACGGGGACGATGACGACACGCCGCTGGAAAGTTTGCTTGCGGAAAGAAATCGAGAAGTATTTCAAGAGGAGAAATGTCAGAAATTGCCTCCCATGGAAGCCAATTTAGATCCGTATGGTAGTATGGACAATATAAATGAGAGTGTGTGCAGTTTTTATGATTATGGCAACCATACAACAAACTTCACTTGTCCAAACGATGACTACAATGTACCATGCAGTGACATAGAACCAAACGATCAGTACCGACGAGAAAGTTATCCAACTTACATAAAAAATGGAGCATATGAAACAATGAACTATAATATGCCTCAATATTATTATCCATCAATAGACTGCAATAACAACTACCCACAGGTTGATGTTGAAACCGGTGGCCATTTAGCATCGTTGTTATTGAATAGTATTTTGATGAGTGACCAACAAATACACGAATCAAGGGAAAACTTTAATACGATCCCAGTACCTTGTACATCAACATCAGGTAATGGAACTCCTGAGGCGATACTTTCACCAACCCTCGCTCAAATGAAATCTGAAGCATTAACAAATAATTTGACACAACAAGCCGACGATACGAACTCAACTTGGAACACATTGAAGGAGTTTGAAAGACTATTGATGATCAACAGAAGCTTTTAAACTCTTAAAGAATTACCATAGTATAATTTACACAGAGAACTTATTTAAAGAGATTTTAATTATTATATAAAAACTTGTACATTATTCAGAAGAAAATTTAACAAAGTTTCAGTTTAACAAATGCATTCAGTTCTGGGGTTTTTTCCACATAACTTCCATGGCGTGGTTCACTAAACATGAATTTTTAGATGAGGGCATGCCCTCATGACTGTTGTCACAGAAACCGGTTCCAATTCCAGATCCCGAACTTTGGCAAAGGAGAAAAAACATTTTACAAACCCTACCGCTGAACTCTACTGCGCAGAAAGAGGATTTGGTAATTATGGGTGCCATACTGTGTTTTGATGTAAAATTCTCTACTGCATGTTCTTATCAGTAGTCGGCATGATTTAGTGCTGAAAGTCTCCAAGGGCCTCTTTACATGGAGCGAGTTATCCCAGCTAGGCGCATCACGTCACAGGGTTAACCTGATTAGTCTTTCATTATATGCAGTTTCAACTCGCCTACCCGGGATAACTCGCTCCATGTAAAGAGGCCCTAAAAGCACTCGATAGGTTAAAAAATTTCCCAAACAGGGCTGCGACACTTATTTAACAATGTTCTGCACAGCTACGTTTTTCTGAATGGATCACTGCATGCAATCAGGCCAGGGTGCGGCAGTGTGTGGAAGTATCAATTATATAAAGCAAATAAAGAAAACTGAACGACTTGAATAAACCGCAATACCTTATATAATACATCAGTTGTACTTGATTTGCAATATCAAGAATTAATTAGGTCTCCATAAATGTTTTCTACCATCGACCGCTGCCGTACCTTTTACTGAAATTGGCGGAAGAAAGGAAGGACATTGGAGAAAGCCTCCTATAAATTGGGCGAGATAACAAAATTAACTCTATAGTTCTTCATTGATAATGCTGATAGAAGTAACACACACACCAAATAACATTTCTGAGAACCAAACGACTATGGGTGAATCCTTATAGGGGGCGGTTCCGCATGAGAGTTGAAGGTTGAATCCACTCAATCCAGTTAGCAATCATAAAATATAAATGCTGACATTTATGTTAATATTATTTAATGCAACGGAAATATAATCATGGGCAAAAAACAAGAGTCATTCTATACAAAACCTCTATATCTATATCTATATACATAACTTAAAGTGTTATTGAAAGGTTTGAAAGAGGTATATCGTGCAGTATATCTTGTAGATTCGATTCCGACAGGTTAGCAATACTTCAGAGCTCGTGCCGCACTGCCGCGCTGTCAATACACTTTGTACCGAAATCGGCTTGCAACATATTGTATTGCATTTTCCGGAAGCACCAAATATATTGGTGTTCAAAGTACACGCAGCTAGATTCGCAGTACCTTTCTTTGCCTTTTTTGCGTGTGTTTTGGACCCTTTAAATATCGTTATCAGTTATCACTATTGTCCGCTTCTCCATCGTCCTGAATATGCAATATGCTCTCTCGAATATTTGTTGGGTTTTTTCGCCCATGTCTAATTACATTTAACCAATATTTATATAGTAGGGCTAGAAAACTTCTAGAAACTATAGCGCTTAGGTTTTCAGTTAGAAATGCACACAAAAATGGAGTATACAGTATATATATATATATATATATATATATATATATATATATATATATATATATATATATATATATATATAAAGAATAAAATCAACTGTTGTAGTCTTATTGAATTATATCGAATAATAAGCTGTATCAGTATCGTCATGAGATATCGTCGTGGTGCCGAAGAGACCCACTCTAGTCGGAACCTTTAAAGTTTGTGACCATTGCACTGGTCAGTCGGTAACATCAACAAAATCAGATCAGATAAGGCCTAAATCACATAAGGTAGGGCAACCCTTTTCTAAAAAGGATTGAACTGTTAAAAAGCAATCTTTTGTTGGGGTAGATTTTCTAGACACATCACGACGACAAACATATCAAAGAAAAGACTTCTCCATTCAGGTCTTTTACAATTAAAAACGCTTGGAACAGAATTACAGAAAGTATACGAATCCGGGAAGTACCTGTTGATTACGGGGCTGTTTCTTTTACATTCGATAGGTCGGCCTATTAAACTGTTAAAATGAAGGTAAAAATTTATGCAGTTATATGCAGCTCATATGCAGTTAATAAATTAACTTTTAATAAATAAATATAACCTCTACATCATATAACATGTGTCAGCCAGTGGACTTGTGATCAGACACACTTCTCCCAGCCAATGCATGGTAAAAATGGTATGTGATCATAGTCCAAATATATATAATCGGCAATCATACCGTAAATGATCGATTAAGCGCCGCGGCGCTTATTACAAATTCCGAGTTGAAGACACGGCGTTTATTCAAGCGCGGCGGTTATTAGACTGCAGCGGCGCTTATTTCAAAGTTAGTGAAAAGACCAGCACGTACTAGAAAAAAAACGCGAAGTTGGGCTGTTGGTTTAGTATAGTTTACAGTATGGCTCAGTTTACAGTATACAGTATACACGGTGAATCTACGACATGCACAGATGTCAGGAGACGCGGAATTACTTAGAAGGAGAAATTTAAACTTAGAACTGTTATCTGAGCCCGGTTGTAAAAGGTATGCAACAACAAAACTTCAATGTTATATACTGGCTGTGATCAAATTCTCAATCGTATGGCGTTTATTTATACATAGGCGCTGCATGCGGCGGTATATCATTTACGGTATATTAGACTAAGCTCAATAAGTACAAAAAGATATGTTCAAAAATGTTAATAAACTATAATGTATATGAACATTGCCTTTGCTATGTGTATGATAATTGTTCCAGATCGAATCGATAAACATTAATTTGAAAAAAGGACCCCCGGTTTTCTCTATACACGCACCTTGTATAGCGGCGCGCGCTCTCTCTCTCTTTCTCCCACTCTCCTCTCCCTCCCTCCATCTCTCCCCCCATTGCTCTCCCTCCCTCTCCTTCTGCCTCCCTCTCCCTCCCTCTCTTTCTACAGTTTCTACACTGTGAACATACTGTTCTGCCAACTAATCGTGTGAACCATAAGTCATGGCAGTCTAAATTAGCAAAGAGCACGTTAACTTCTTTCTATTTTGAAGTTCGTGGCGCTAAGCGTTTGCCTTCGCAATACGTCGGAACTTCATATTGCACCCACATCGACACCATTCCTCAAAATGGCGGAAATCAGGTTCCGCAAACAATTTGCCTACTCAACAAACGTTCAACCAATAAGCAATATTGCAGCAACAATCGTGACCGGTGAGACTCGGATTATGATTTCAGATAAGCTAAATTTGGTCTTCAAAAGACAAATATAGAAACTGCAGGAATTGGATATGCCTGTATAAAAAAATGCAGCCAAACCTCGACCTCGTCGTATAAACGATACAAAATGCTTGTTCGCGTCTTATTTAAGACGGGCTTAATAGGCTCCTAAAAACAGACAGCTCGCAACTTATTCAAGTCGCGTCTTAAATAAGTTGCAACTTATTTTCCCTCGTATAAATGGCCCTATCTAGTCATGCAGGAGACAAAAAGATCAATGAGTGATCGTGACAGATTATAAGTGTGATGTAAAGAGGCAACGTTGACTGTTTTCAATGTTCCGATAACTCGTGCATGGTCTTAAGGTAAAAGAGCCTGGCTAAGCGTGAGAGAGGACGGAGAAGAAACTACATGTATAAAGCCAATACATGCCCAGGTTTAAATCAAGATACACGAAACCCACTATGGAACTGACGTACTTCACTCCATTGCCCGCGCGCTTGATTGTGCAATCCGCCGATTCGCAATATTTGTCGGCCCCCATAATCAAAGCCGACATGAAATTACATAGAATAACTAAGGTTGTAAATAAAAAATTTCCAGTTATTTCATATTATTTAGTACACTTGAAAATCAATCTTTTAATTGTAAAGCTCAAAATAGATCATAGCGAAAATAATTATTTATTAATTATAGCTTAAAATAAATTATAACGGACCGAAAGCTTTGCAGTATTCAATATACTTACGTGGTGTACCTACAAGATAAATTACCCATTGATGTCACCATGCAAACATACAAGAATATTAAATTATAGCGAGTTTAGAATAACAAAACCGGGGGAAGATAAAGTTAGAGCTAGGTGAAAAATGAAGGGGAAAAGTAATAAAGCGCAACTGAACTATAATATGCACCTGAATGTTCCTGAAAACCCATGAAGCATCACCGTAACTGGACTGAAAACATTTAGTCTTATGTATGTATTAATTTGCGTGCGTGTGTGCATAGCTGTGATCAACCTGCTCACAATGACTTCATTTTATACTTGATCTGGAATAACCCATGCATCGCCAACAATTAAAAGGGCACCCGAGATGTGCCGCCATTTTATCTGTGAAATTTCTTAGTAAATCATTCATCCGAAGCTTCGAAGAACGTTCGCTTATACTTCGATTGAAATATCGCATAACGTTAGGTACACGTTTAGGGAAAATCAACGCAAAATTAGGAGCAAGGTACATCGCACCATGAATATATATATAATATGCTTGCACTATAGTTTCAAAATAATTAAGCACCTTCCATTGTAATTATAATAGCTGACACTTAGGAAGACGTATTATAATATAAATAGTACACTGTCTAGAACAACTCATTCAACCAGATCAACTATGCATGGTGATTTGTTCATCCATCCGCAATTGGACATTGAAATAGATTGCGTCGAAACTTTAAATTTCAGCATGAATTCACGTATAACACTATAGCTATTAGCTAGGCTTGGGATACTGTGGTAAAGCGAATGTTTGTCCTTCAACTTGTTAGTGCTTCATCATTATGCAAACAATATGTTGTATCCTTAATGCATGGTTGCCCTTCGTTGGGTATAAAAAATTTGCATTTCAATGTGTCTTTTGCAATTGCTTCATGGGTTTGTCGATGAAAGACGCAAAGAAAACGTCTGCATTGGTAAGTGTTTCAGTTCTTTTCTTATTTCTACCTAATTGTAGAGATAGTAACGGTTTGTCTCCATATAAGTACCATTCCGTTCTGGTATAAATCAGGCGTAAGGAAGAGATAGTTGCTTTACCATGTGAACATATGTTTCCAGTTAACTAATTGATCGAAAATCAATATAGCATTGAATTTTCCATTTTCGTATCATTTCGGTTGAGAAATGTCACGGACTATGTCACTACGGCGAAATTTAGCAAATAATTTCCAGCTGTTTTCATGCTATGTTATCCCACCACGTTATTTGTGAGAAACAACTACAATGAAACTCTAAAGTTGAGATATTAACATACTATATATACAGACACACCCGCGATTAGTTTAGTGATAAGGGGCAACAACCATGATCATGGCAATCCTTGACCGTTGCAATACCTAACGATTGCAGTCAATTCAGTGTGAAACTTCGACTCATTTAAGTCGAAATTGACTATACAGCGCGTATATCATGAATCACCTTTGTTGACTGCTTGATCTGTATTCATGCGCTGCTTACCGAGGCCTAACCAAGCAAAACAAACGATAAAATCAAAAATACCTCATATTCTGCATTAAACTCATTAGAACACAACGAGTAGCCCGGTTCAACCAGTATTAACATAGTAGCAATCAAACAGTATGGAATTTGCTCGAGAATCTATTCAAAGAAGTTGCGGTGCAGAAGAAGGTGCAATTCAGAATACCGAATGGTTGATTTAATTAGATGCAAGCAACCTTTGTACTGCTGTCCTGCGATTATAGTCAAATTGAAACGATGCTTAACCCGTTGCTTTACGATTTTAAAGAAATCATAATCATCATTTTATAGTATTGATTATCGATATACTGAATAGGGAAATCTGCCTCACTTTTTGACGTTCAGAAAGGAACTATAGACAGCAAGGAACATTAAAACAAACGAATGCAATAGAGCATGCCAAAATAAACGAGCTTGCATTGGGTAATGTCTTTCTCAGCTGACTTAAACATGAAAGAGAAATTCATGGTATATATGTTAAGCTTTTGTTTTGTTATACCATGCAGGTTTTTCATCTGTGTTGTATACGGATATAAACATGCACGTACACCACACAATAATGAGATTAAAGATCAGCAAGAGGTGTCTCGCTTCAAGAGTTGTGATGCCATGACACTGAAGTGATCACTCAGCTTTAGTTGTGATTAATGACACATAGCGAATTCATAGTTTGTTTCTCAATTGCATTGGAGTAATGATTCCACACTGTGTTAGAAATGTTCTTATTTCATCATTACTGATATGAGTTAATCGAGTTTTAATTTAAACAGGTAATTTCAACAACAGGAACATCCACAATATAGCCGCAGCAATATTGTTTGTTTGCAATTTACATCTACATGCAGTATCATCATGACTGTGATTTGTGATTTCAAAAGTGTTAATACTAATAGTGAATACGTGGATTACCGATAAAAATTTCCTCTTTTTTTCGAATAAAAGAATTCGCACTAAGGGCTCTTGACTGCGGATTAGTCCACCGCGGCACTCTTGCGGTGTATATAATATTTGAACATGCTTAATAAAAAACTATAGTGAAACAAACATAGCTGTTTATGTCATGCTTCATGCCCACACTTTACCACATGCACCCTAATAAAGCTCCATCAGTTTCTAATAAGTCTCAGGTTGAAAAAGTATCTGCAATTTTTTGAAATACTGAAATCTCTAACTAGTGTAGAAAATATCCACATCAAAATACAAAATTTTATCTCGTTACTCGTATATTGGGCCTTTGCGAGTGATTTTATAGTTCGTATATATTTTGCCTTTCACCATCTCGAGTATACTAGGCGGAAAGTTTAAAATATAAGTTTAAATTCGAACTAATATTTAGCCGGCAACCGAGATTTTAGTACAGCGGATTAAAAGCCTGCATGTACGTGACTCCATGAATACATTTTGAAGTACCAAGAATCGGTTGAAAAACGGCGAACTATAGTTTTGTGGTATGTTATCATTGCAAGAGACCAATGTTGAATGCATTTCTTCAATGTCAAAATATTCGACTGCCTGTTTCATGACATTGTCTAACAAAGGACCTTGTCATCGTCTAAGTGGCGACTTACTCCTGTATCCCACAAACACTAACCCGGTATAGAACGGCTATAGCATTGGAAAGCACCATGATGCGAGTTCAAACTCATCGAAATAACGAATTCAGTTTCCATTGTTTTACTGCAGTGACTGCCACATATTTCTCAATATCTCTGAGAATGGTTTTTAAAAAAATTGAAATAGTTCAGGTCCTTCTACAAGACTACAACTAGCGTACAGTTCAGTGTCACGAACTATAAGTTGCACTTATACAAATTGTTGGATAAATGTTTATACTCGCACTTAAAGTACGTGGGGTACAGTCCGTGATGTAAACAAACGCTTGTTTGCATCAATATCAAGAACGGTCAAAGTGTTTGACACCACTGATTTTGGTTTTACATACATTTAAACGAGGTCACGAGGATACGAGGTTAGCCTAGGCTTATGTTCAGAAATATATATACAAGTCATGCTCTTTTTGAGCAGATTAAACTGATGCACATAAGTCACTTTAACCCCCTTTTAAAATATAAAGCCGAGGTGTGAATTCAAATCCATTTTGAGATGACGGATACTTTTTTGTAATTTGCATAAATAATGTTCATACACTAAAGGCCGACACAGACCGGACGCGAAGCGGCAGGGCGCGAATTTTGAGTTTTCAGAAGCATATAAATTAAATTCTGGAAGTAAAATTTGGAAATTATGGACGCTAGAGCAGTCAAAATGTTTTATTGTTATGTAATCTACAAGAAAATTATGATAGTTTAAAATTTATTTGATTTTGAAAAATTGAAAACGTTGAAAATTCGCGCCGCGTTGCCAATTCGCGTCCGGTCCTGTGTCGATCTTAACGCGGGAAACTATAGGGAAAGACACATGCAGTGGCGTAGCCAGCCTAACGATTTTGTCCCGCAATGTTAATTTCGAGTTATTATAATTAGTCACTTCTTTACATATTTATTTGTCGGGAATTGTTTCCCCCGATCAATAATCACTCGCAGATTCTGGTTTTTTAAAGGTTTTTATTCGCGATATCTACTCTCCGCGCTGTCTCACACCACTCTGCCCTCACTCTCTTTCCTCTCACTCCCCTACTTATCTTGTCAATCAGCTGTTATTTTACCTTGTTCACATTACTCGCACATATTTCGCAATGTCTCCTATAAATGTTCTGCAATTAAAAGTTCAATTAACGCTAATGTATATATATATATAGTCACTAAATGATGAATAGCTGTCAACTTCCCAACACCCTCCCCCTATTTGCTACACGAAGGTAACAAATATAATAGAACAATCTTAACAAAACGTTTTATAATAAAGTTTAAATGTATAAAATATATCGTTCTCTCAAACAGACAAGTCTGTTTGTTCATTTTTCTTTACTGTCACTCTTCATCTCCGGCATTTTCACGTATTCGTATCGCTGCGGCTGCTGCGGCGTCTCGTTTCGGTCTAAATTCTCCAACAGATGGATCCAGACGAGGATCCATATCTCGATCGTCTTCCTTTTCTGGCTTCGTTATGTCGCACGAGAGTTCTAGCGGGTACAGGTGTTGTATGGCACGTTCTAGGTGGCTTTTACCCGCTCGCAGCTTCGCTACACGAACAACTCCGTCACGACCGGCAATCAGGTCCTCCACGATACCTAATTTCCACTTGTTCCGGTTGCGTTCGTCGGCTCTGATTATCACCACGTCACCTACTTTCAACGAGAATCTCTTGTTGTTGTGTTTGAGATTATGTCTTTCTCGCAACCCTCTCACGTACTCGTTCGTCCATCTTCTCCACATCATGTCTTTGCATTTTTCGATGCGCTTTGCGGTCTTTCTCAAATCCACCTCTTCTATATCTCGATAATCTTGTGTCGGTAGTAGATTCGGTCGATGGAACATCAGGGAATTTGGTGTCAGTATTGGCATTTGTAGATCGTCTTCGACGTAGCTGAGGGGTCTGTTGTTTAACGCCACTTCGACATCAAGCAAAAGATCTTGCAACGCATCCCAGGCAAGTAAGGTGCCCCCGCCAGCTTTGTAAAGTGCGCGCTTTACTAGACCAACAATTCTTTCAAACTGACCACCCCACCATGGTGCTCGACTCGTGTTGAATTGCCATTTTATCTCGTATTTCGCGAGCCAGTTGTGTAGTCGTTCATCTCTCATGACATGTTTGAGCCAGTTTGCTGCTGCCACAAACGTCTTGCCATTGTCAGAGTAGATCTTCTGCGGCCGTCCTCGTCTGGCGATAAGGCGTTTCAAGCTTTGTAGGAACTCGTTAGTTTCTTGATTCGGCAGTAGTTCGACGTGAACTGCTCGGGTTAGACTGCACGCGTATAGTACTATGTAAGATTTTGCTTCGCGTTTCTTTTTGGTTAGATATCTGATGGGTCCCGCGTAGTCTACTCCGACAACTTGGAACGCTGCATCACCTTCTGTTCTATCTCGGGGAAGGTTTCCGGTTGGTGGGGTTGCTACTGCGACTGCTCTGAATCGTTTACATGTATTGCATTTCTTTGTCACCCGTTTAGCAATGCTCCTAAGACGCGGGGTCCAATACTTCTCTCTGTGCTTAGCCATAGTCATTCCAACTCCCCCATGGCAGCTGAGCTTGTGGGCATGCATTATCATCTTTTCGGTGAGTAGTTCGTTACCAGGTAAATACACGGGATAATGTCCTTGTACTCTGCCTTGGCACTCGTAGAGGCCTTTCGCGTTTTTCTTCAAGTTCAGCCGTTGTTGGTCTTCCTTAAAGGCTTCCGTCTCCTCGTTTCGTTGTTGGACTCTTTTTTCCCAAAATTCCATTTGTCGACTCATCTCCTCGGTTGTTAAGGGTCCAACTATCTTGTTATCGCGACCGTTCTTCATATTGTTCACGAAACGGCTCATTCTCGCTGTTATTCGGAGCGTTTTCCAGTAGTCGTGCTTCTTCAGGAGTTCATCCAAATCGTCTTCCAGTGGAACTGCCACCGCGAATATCTCTTTCACCGCTTTTGTTTCGGCTTGTGTCTCACTGGTATCCCGGGTAGTGATGTTGGGGGGCCATTTCTCTTGATCGAGCAACCAGCCGGGGCCTTTCCACCAAAGACTTCCAGATTGCTTTACGTTACCACCTCGGCTGCCAAGATCGGCAGGATTATCCGCTGACGTCACGTGCCGCCATTCGATGTAGCTCCTCTCCTGGATTTTTCTGACACGGTTCCCCACGAACTGTTTGAATTCGCCATTCCCACGGATCCAGTGTAGGGCTACAGTGCTGTCTAGCCATCCCAGAACTCGCTGGACTGGAAATCCTTCTAAGGACTGTTTCACATTGTGAACCAGGTTAGTTGCCATGTGCCCCGATACTAGCTCGAGTCTCGGTATCGTTAAGCCTTTCTTGGCCAGCCGCGACTTTGCTGTGACGAGACCACTGCTGACACTGGACGGTTGTCGTACGATCGCGTACACGGCTGCAGAGACTCCTATCCCACTCGCATCGCCGAAAGCATGCAACTCGATAGATTCGATTGGCTCCTCTGATTTAGCAAGGCTTCTCGGTACGGTGACTTGGCTTGGTAGGACTTGTTCGTACTTCCACCATCTTTGCTGTAGTGTACTCGGTAGGGGTGCATCCCAGGCAATTCGAAGATCACAAGCGTCCCTGTAAAGCGTTTTTCCCGTTAGGGTTAATGGAGATATTAGGCCAAGTGGGTCGTATATTCTCGCCATCTTCCCTAGAATCCCTCTCTTGGTACAATTCGCGGTATCGTTGGGGATGTTCACTTGAATGTTATCTTGATCTTTATCCCAAGCAAGACCAAGTAGCTTCGTCTCCCCCTGTTTTACTCCAAGTTGTTGCTTGGCATACGTCTGATTGTCGTCGTTCGCTGTTGTGTCTTCATACTCGACTTCCTTGGCGTTTGAGTGCCATTTATGCAATTGAAACCCAGCTTCACCGAATACTTCTTTTGCTGCTTGCTTTAACTCGAGAGCCTTGGGTTTGCTATCTGCTCCGCCGATGAGGTCGTCTACGTACAAACTTCTCTCCATCTCTTCCACTAGGTCAGGATACTTTGGTTTGAGGCCTCGCAAATGTTCCTTGATCACGCCAGCAAGCAGGAATGGGGAAGGTGCCAACCCAAAGAGAGCTCGAGTAAATCTCAGGACTTCTTTCTCCTTGGTTTGTAGGTCTTTCAGCCAATGGAAACGCAAGACGTCACGATCGTTTTCCCGAATTCGCACTTGCAAAAATGCTTGTTTCAGATCTCCCGTCACTGCGATTGGATGAAATCTGTTTCGAACCAGCACATTCCACAGGAGGTTTTGCAAGGGAGGTCCGGTCTCCAGGCAATCATTAAGTGATGGTACTTTCGGGTTAGCACGTGCTGAAGCGTCGTAAACCACGCGCATCTTCGTCGTTTCGGCTGATTCTCGGATGACAGGTTTGTGAGGAATGTAAAATTCCTTGCCTTTCGCGTCGTTATCCACACGTTCTACAATTCCTTGCTCGAGCTGATCTTGTATTATCTTATCATATTGCTCTAACGAATCTTGCTTCTCCAGTTTTCGTATTAGGTTGTCAAGTCGACTCAAACTGCCCGCCTTATTGTTTGGTAGTGAGGGATGATTTCCCTTCCAAGGGAGGCCAGTCTCGTACCACCCCTCCGGATTTCTTGCCAGTTGTTCCTTGAACTCTTCGTACACCATGCTCTGGTCGCCCGTTGCAGAGTCCTCTAGTCCAAGTACGTCCAGTCTACACAACTGCTCGTAGTCCGGGCAAGCAGTTTGCGTCATTAGCATTGGGGTCAGGTTGATTTCTTTGCCGGGGGTAAGGATTGTCCATCCAAATTTCGTAAGCTCGGCTACCGGCTCATTGGGACGTCCAATCTTCGGTTTGGTCTCGGTCTTAATTCGGGCATATTCGCTTGCACCCAGGATTAGGTGCACTGGAAGTTCCGGTTTTTTGTCGTTGTCATGCATCTGGACATCACTCAAATGTGGAAATTTGGCCAAGGTCTCTTGGTAATTGGGGTTTTTTAACGTCAACAACTCCTTACGGTCCACCTTGGTTACTTCAGTATGTAATTGAAAGTCCCCTTCGAGATTGTTGATAGACATGTTGTAAACACTAATTACCTTGTTGACCGATCCCAACATCATCTCAATGTGCTTGAATTCTTTTCTCGTTGGTTTAGCTTTGATTAGATCTATAAGGGCTGATGACGCGTAAGAACTACCCGCCCCAGTGTCCAGTAACGCGCGACATTTCACACCATTGACGTCAACAATCACAACGGGGTAGGTTACCATCGCATTCCCTGTGCTTGAGGCAGTCAACAAGGCACTTGAGTTGTCAATTCCATCATTGTCACGATTATCACAGATGCTCGTATGGTGGCGTCGATTACATTTTTGGCATACCGTGCGTGATTTGCATTCCGAAGCTTTGTGGTTAGGCCGAGCGCAATTGAAGCATAGCTGTTTTGAACTAAGCAACTTTTTCCTGTCAACTGTTAGTTCTACTTTCTTACAATCCACAGATCTGTGATCAGCGCCATCACAATACACGCATGCTCTAGGGTTTCTTACTTCACGGTCTTCTTGTCTGGTATTAAAATTCCTCTCACGCTTGAGGGGAAACTGAGGGGGTTTCATTGCATGCTTCTCGTTTGACGGCTTAATGGGGTTGCGCACCGTCCATTTTTCTAGAGCTTTTACTAGTTCGGGGAATTTCCACTCCTGCCAGTCATCGTCCATACGAACAAGGTCCCCTCTAATGCCCTCTAGTTTGTCGATCGTGGCCCTGACATAACCATTTACTTCATTTAGCTTTCCTAGGGTTTCTAAGGACTGTACATTACACATTAGTTTCTCGTAAAACTCATGTATCTTCGATGGCTGGCAGCCGTGAATGTTAGGCAAGGACATGATATTTTGCACATAACTATTTACTATCTCGCTAGATTTCCCATACCTTGTTTGCAGAATATTTCTGGCTCTTTCGTAGCCCTCGGTTGTGCACGGCAACCCTTGAATTGCGATCCTCACCTTTGGCGTTACTAATTCTTTTAGGTAATTGAACTTTGTAACTGCTGGGATTTCTGCTGCCTGGATTTCTGCTTCGAACTGGTTCCAGAACCGTAACCAATCTGCGTAGGTGCCGTCGAACTTTGTAATCTGCAGCTTCTGAAGCCTCACATTGGGTTTCCGCGATTCGTTCTCGCTCGATCTTTTCGTTCGTTCTTCTGTTATTTTCTTTTCATAAACTAGCTGTAACTCCAGTTTCTCCTTGTCGTATTTCAGCTTTTCCTGGTACTGTTCATCTCTGCCTTGAGCGGCTAGGTTCTCTTTCTTCCTCAGTTCATTCTTTTTCGTAGTCTCGATGACGGTCTCCAACTCGGAGATCGCATTCTCGATAGGTATAATGTCGTTCGATTTTATTCCTTCGGTCCATGCTCGTACCTCATCAGGTGTAATTCCCTCGCCAAGCTTGATTTCTTGAATGCGTAGCTTCAAATCATGTACTTCTTGTAGTTTATCGTTTAGCGTTTTCCGTTGACGCTCTAGCTCGTTAATCTTGGCTTTAGTAATTATCTCCCTCGTTTCTTCGTTAGTGAGTCGAAGGAGATCTGCTTTTGTTTTTATCTGTTTCACAAGATCCTCTGATGGTTGCGTCTCGGTCATCCCGTCGGAGGTGCCACTGTGTCGGGAATTGTTTCCCCCGATCAATAATCACTCGCAGATTCTGGTTTTTTAAAGGTTTTTATTCGCGATATCTACTCTCCGCGCTGTCTCACACCACTCTGCCCTCACTCTCCTCTCACTCCCCTACTTATCTTGTCAATCAGCTGTTATTTTACCTTGTTCACATTACTCGCACATATTTCGCAATGTCTCCTATAAATGTTCTGCAATTAAAAGTTCAATTAACGCTAATGTATATATATATATAGTCACTAAATGATGAATAGCTGTCAACTTCCCAACATATTGTTTTGACAGTCAATGAACACCAAAATATTAGCATAGCGGGACAAATCGTCAGGCTGGGGTAGCTACGCTACTGGAGAGACAACTTACGAAGAATGACAATAGTGTAACGCGCGTATAGTGTATTTAAACTTCATGGAAATGAAAAACTTCATTACAAAAACTATACACAAATATGTAGGTCATTACTGTTTATATATATACGGAATTGCATGAGTGCATTTACATGCATATAATAACATCGTTTTCGCTCATATGGCAGTAACCCTGTGTATGATCCATACGTGCAAACCTTGTACTTGCATGTCTACAAATTAAAACTCATTAAACAATCATATATATAATTATAACCAATTTGTTCAGATACTTTTTGATATGTTTCTCCCTTCTGTCTAAACGAAACCATTTGAGTTGGAAAGTATTTGAAGTAAACCCCCCTATTATAAGCTCTAAACCTCGTCAAAATAACCGAGTTACTTTTTTCTCATTGTATAGGCTACAAGCGATTTCCTTAAAAAACAAATATGCCTTTTAGAAGAACATCGTATTTCATTTGGGAATTCATTCTTGCGATGTTGCAAGAAGAAGAATGTTCGTCGATAATATCCTGGACAAAGGAGTCAGATTTAGAGTTTGAGATCAAGGATATGGCTGAGTTGGCGCAGTTATGGGGAATGCTACGTGGTAGACCTGAGATGGATAAGAAGTCATTCTTCCGAGCTTTCAGATATTATTACAAAATAAACGTCATCATAAAGGTATGTTTTATTAATAATGCATGCATGTCAATTAGTCATACATGGTTTGCGACTCATTGCAGTTGTATTAGGGGCTGTTTACAATTTACATGAGCCCAGTTACCCGAGATTCAACGAAGCGTGAGAGCCTGAGAGGACTTTGAGGTATTGAAATAAGTCCTTATGATACCAAAAAAGCACATGCTATTGTTGTGGTGATTATACGACTGCCAGGATCATGTTATCTGCTCATTTCAATACCTCAGAATCATCTCATGCTTCGTTGAATCTCGGGTAACCGGGCTCATGTAAACAGCCCCATATAGTTGTAATAATTGTTATACAGGGTGTATAAAAAAAAACGCAACCACTTAATATTCTAAAATTCATATTGTTCATAAGCTCAATAGATTTTATGCCCCTGGGATTTTAAAATGGCTTCTAATCGTACAGTTCAACTGCTAATGGTCAAATCAGCTAAACTAATAATGGTGCAGCTAACAACTGAACAACGAGTTTTTATTGTCGTGCATGATAACTTGAATGCTAACTGTCGACCTTGTAAAATAAATTGTAAATAAAATTTTACTCGTTATATACTTTCAATTCAGCTCGTTCGTTTACGCACCCGACTTTGTTTACCGACGATTGTGCCGCTAGAATATGATTACAAGCTTTCTCGCATTCCAGGGGCCAAACGTCTTTTGTGTTGTAGAACAAAGAGGATATTCATGAATATTAAGTGGTTGCGTTTTTTTTGATACACCCTGTAGTGTGGGGGTTTATTGCATGGTTGTGAACATGGTGATGTTAACTGGTATCGATGCATGTTCACTTAACATTAAACCTGTGACTATACATTCATATAATTTCTATTCCCACGAATCATGGTAATCATGGTGGCAATCATGAATCATGGTGCATTGTAATGCAAGATGATTGCATGATGAAGGTAAAAACCATCACTGGGTCTCAACCAAACCATCATTTTTCAAACAGGTCAAATCAGGACGACGATTATACAGATTTAATAATCATCCATTCCATATTGCAAAGAAAGCTGGAAATGAACGAAAATGTGGGAAAAAGGCAAAAATAATGAAGATCGTCTCTACAAATTGACTCTGACAGACGACAAGTTACATATTATAACAATTGTGTAACTCAGTGTATACAGTCAGGCCAAGGAATTGAAGAAGATGTGAAAAGAGCTATTTATTTTACAGAGGCCATTATCGCCAGTAGGTCAAAGAAGAACGCAGTACATTCCTTTGCGATCTTCAGTTGTCGGCTGTATGATGTATGGGAGTGATTTAACCTTAAGATGACTGATTGATTGATTAACTGAATAAATATGAACAAATATCCATTAATAAACAACCAGTGTGTAGATAATGAAGAGAGTAATCCAAGTGAGTTAGTTAGTTGTTCACTGTATTTGTTGCCATTGTTAGTGATAACAAATATCGTACCGAACATGCACCTGGAAAACAAGCACCGAACCATAATCAAACCTTAGTAAAATTATTGATTGTAGAAAGTTTATTTAATTTATGTACTTTTTTATTATTCTTGTATTATATATGATAGTTTATGGTTATATACAATGTATATTCCTTTTTCGAAGATTTAGCAGGCTAGCAGCTAGGGAGTCATGACAATGATGGGTACCTTTCTTTAGGTGTTGTTGCATGCAATGTGTTTATACACCTAAGTACAAAATCCATATAAGGAATACAAAGCCGAACATGCGCATAAAACAAGTGGATAACTACTTCCAGCTTTGTTTCAACTTTCCACTTCTGAGTGTGTGGTGCATGAGTCAAAATTCGTTGTTGATGCAACCTTCTTGAATGGTTAGGAAAGTGACGACGAATCTATACATTATACACTTAGTCCATGGAGTATATCATAGACTATACAAAGTTTTAAATCGGAGCATTTTATGAATTATGTGACGACAGACAAATGTTTCAAACATTGCTAAGATGGCGTGATAAAATATTGACTTCGATAATAGCAAACTACTTGACTTAATGAAGAGGTGGCGAAACAACCCAAAGCCATGCACTTCTCTCATCTACGTAAACACATTGTTAAAGTAGTCTGAGAGACGATTAGTCGAAATCTGATCCACCAGTAGCCAGATATACGCCAAAGCAAGGAGAAAATAATTATATCGAGCAAGCAGTAGAACGTAAAATCTATCAAGCATGAAGTTTATGTATGTTAATGTTTAGCCTGAAAGCTGTCCGGTTTGGCTTACTATAGACTTCCGCATTTTTTAAGAAAGCTTGGGATGCAATACGTATAGACAACAGCAAACTCCATTTACAAAACTTCGAGTATCTATATATCATCGGGTTGATCATTTCACAGCCTCAACATGCAGGTTTCATTGTTGTCAACCGTAGCGTGGTATTTTACTCTGACGACATCGGCATTTTTTCTAACTCAAGACAAGGACGTGAAAATAATTCGGGCAGAACGCGACAGATTTACAAACGTTGCTCGTTGTAACGAGACGAGTGCTGTGTGTTTCGATGAAAACTGCAATTATTGTCAATGCATGGTGAATCAGACATATATACAGATGAGGGGACAATATGGGGAGTGCGTGTCAAACGAACATGTAGTCTATGCAACAGGTAATAGCTATTAATTTCTCTTTATTAAGTGGGTCACAAAAATTAAAATGGTGAATTTGAAAGTTAATGTGAAATACCATAAACGGACGAAGCCTGTTGTTTTCGATTTTCTCTCGTAGCTAAATCCGTTCAATGTATTGACCTCGGAGACGTATTTATTTATATATTAAGGTTTGACTGCAAATTAAATATTGTGATATTGAAATATTGTGATAACCTTCATTTCATGCTTTCTGCTGGACCAGCGTGGCGTACAAACTGAAACCATACATACATTTCGATAGACTAGTACACAACTAATATACAAAGCTTTCGAAACGGTTATATAACCATTCAAGTTGATAAGCATGCACCACCACCACATGATGAGGTTCATATTGCCCTACTTTGATATTCCAATTACACTTATTCACTGTTATTTTATAGTGGTGGCAATTATAATTAATATCTAAAATATATCTTTTTCATCTGCATGCATCGACAAATATATCATTATTATATTTAGACATCCCTCAACTACAGATTTAAGCTGAGTCATACAATATGGTTTGCTACTTGCTATTTCCTTTATTTATTGATAACGGGAATTGCGCGATGAAGCTTTAGTATAACAAGGAGTATCAAGGACAAGGATAAAAACATAACAATGTTGACAAGTCAATACATATGATATTGAGGCTCTAAAATGGTTTGCATAATGTCGAGAATTTTTTGTACGAAGAAAACTATACTCGTAAAAAAATAAATTTCATCTTCGTGTCAGATTTCGTCAGTTAACAGCTAGGGTGGACTGGTTTTAAAAAGACCTTAAATAAACCTGTCAATTTCGCTGTATGCATGGCCCATTGTCAGCCAATCATAGTAGAAGACCTGGGATCGGTTGTACAAAAACTGGATTGCGCTACCTGTCAATCGTTTTGAAATTGCTTGTTGTACACTGCTAGACGAACGGAAGAAACTAATAAAATAGTCCGAGGAATAGCGAATGTTTCACATTTTTGTGTCGATATGAAGCAAGAGACGATATTTTTTATTTATTTTACAGCATATAAATCTTCATTTCTCATCGTCAGAAATCTTCATACCAAATGTATTTACCAAAGTCCAACCAAATATTATACGTTTGTCCAAAATGATATTTGTAATAAAAGTAATCCAAATTATCGTTGGATCTGGACCAGCCATGGGCAATTGTTAAACTGGGCTACCTTAGAATGTGCGACAGATGATTTTTATAGTGCAAAAAAAAATTATCACCTTATAATGAAGAGATGTGACCGAGGTAATCAGAAGCAACTATGGAAGTGTGTGGGTGAAAAAAAATACGACATGCAGTCAATGACAGGCCGATACATCTACTATGGAGATTATATTTTTATGGGGAAAAATAACTCTCAGAAGACCGAATGGAAGCGCTTCGGTTCTCAAAATGATGTATGTTCACAAGGTAAATTTTACGAAATAAATTAAAACACCAGGCGATTACTTCGGAATATTTCTCAATATTTTAGGACACATTTGTGCTCGTTATACAGGCTGTTCCCGGCGAAGATCTAGACGTTTGAAATTTAAAAAAAATTCTAGCGCAGCACCAACCATGGTGCTGCCTCGCAACATATCCTATTCTTAACATTAACCGACCTCCTACATGCAGGCTATATTCAAATCATAAAAATTGCCTTATGCCGCGGTATTGAAATTAAGCCATATTCTGTAAGTCAATTAGGAAAAATCTCGTTCGCCACGCCCCTGTAATCTTCTCACATACCTTGACAAGCGCGCAATGTGTTTTCAGGTGTTACAGCATGTGACAAATTTGCAGACGGTTCATCCCTCCTCATCCTTAACAAAACAAAATGTGAAGAAAAGTCGGAATGCGTGGGAGAGAAGATGATAAGTTTGGAGAAAACAACATGCCTTCTGTCTTCAATTGGAACTCAATATTTAATGGAACATGGAACATGGAAAACGTTAGTAGTTAAGAATGGTACTGTAGGAATTGATTTAACAGAAGAGAAAGTGCGCCTACAGGTATCAGTTTAAACATAAAAGAAGTACATTTGTGTTATTATTTAGTAATACCTCTCGTTTTGAGGTCAACATTTGGGGGGGGGGGTGAAAAGCTATTTGCCGCTCGGAGATCAAAACCTATCAACTGTTTGTTATCTCTTTCATAGGAAGTATTTTTCAAATATATCATGAATGGCTATCATGAATTCACGTCTGTACTTCGTACATGCATTAATCATATACACATGCAGAATACGCTATAATTATAATCAAGATCCATCTAACAATTTTCAAATAAACTAAACCAATAAATCAATTGTCAGTTTTCGAGAGATGCTTATCAGCAAATGCATGGTTTACAGTTGGCAAATACAGAATTGATGCGAACTTGAGTGATACCATATGCATATACAGTTATAAAAAATAATTTGCAACTAGTATAAGAATATAATTTGAATAATATCAATGCGGTTTAGATACTATTCTCATTTGTTATATAGTGGAATTTAAAGAAAACTCCAAAATCCTGGATGGGATTAATTATTAAAGTACAATTTAACTGTTCGAAGTTCCGAACCGTAAGCTCAACAGACGATCATGAACACTGCGTCGTGATAAAATATACAGGGACTTCTACAGGTGAGGAACTATACTTAATTATATTTAATGAAAGCCGTTGTAACGATTACTAGCAAGAGGGTTTTCTGTGCAAAACAATACGCACACGCGTTTTTTGTGGGAGAAGAGGTTTGGGGGGAGTTCTCCAATAGGATGTAACCTTTAAATCGTAATGTCATGTATGCGCACACGTTACATACCATGAAAGAGGTAGCTAGCCTCTAAGACATCAACCTGACCAACTGTACGCGCTAGTTAGACAGTATACGATTCGATTTTTACCGTGTGCAAGCTTCAAACCTTCTGTGCAAGTTATATTTTGTTGAGCATTTGTAAATCTTTTTGCTCACCAAGTTTGTGCTTTTCCAGCGGCTATAGATATTTTAATATTTTGGAGTAAAACAAGCGTGGCGATAAACTGTCAAAGAGCAAAGCGGGCGCGTTTGATTCAATATCGCATTTCTAACAATTCGTATTCATCCGGATGTACAGCAACCTTGCCCAAGCAACCTTGCCCAAAATGAAGACTACTGAAAACTTTCTTCGCGTCGAATGCAATTCAAACAATAGATGAGATGATAAATCTCATTAAGCTTAATTAACATCTGATCATCTAGTGCTCGAATTATATAACCTAGGGCGTATTACCTAGGGCTCCTTATGGTCGTAAACACCATCCCGATGAGTACGTGCTGCACAGCGTATTGAGCTCATTGCAGCAATTCCTGGGCCTATCCCGGGAACGAATGAGTCAAGACACCCATATAAATCGTAAAGGCTGTAGTCCACTGTTCAATGTCGGTGATTTTTGCGAGAGACTAAAAAGACCTTTTAACATTAATTACCGAGTTCGCAAGCGTCAAGGTAAGAGGCTCATCGTCAGATGCATTAGAGAAGTTTTTTGGGAGAAGCTTAGCTAAGTTAAAACACTCACAAATTGAATTCCGGTAGGAAATTGTGATTTGAAAATATGTTATACGTTAACTGCGCATCGGTAAAAGCGTTCGCTGTCGCGTCCTGACGAGGATTATCCGAAGCAGTTGCGGGGACCATCTTTGAATCAGGAGAGCTCAAGGAGGCGTGCCGCTGTAGTCGGTGAATCAGCGTGTTTCGCCGTCCGTTCGTAAGCAAACCCTTTCCGAGCCGTTAAGCTTATCTAGTTCGGTGGTTGAGCTGTCCAGTGCAGTGATGTGTTAAGTAAGAAGGTTGGGCTGGTGCATTTTTTTATGCATGTCCCTCTGAAATGCTATTGGTTGTCATTGCGTGTCATTCTAAAATGCTATCGTTTGCGCCAAAAAAAAGGAGTTTAATTGGTTGGATTGATCAGGTCAAATGCCGATTTTCGCGTGCGATGCCATATTGGATCTACCGCTTACTAATGCATTGGAACTCCAAATAACTTGTTTTAAATATGCTTTCCACAAAACATATTCCATGCTTAGAGGCAAGGAGAAATCATTAAATTAGGGATTCTTAGAATGGGGCAAAGGCCCCTGGGCCCCAGATTTAAGATAGTCCTAAAAAGACGAATTCACAATAAAAAGGAGGGGCCCGAATATCTCTGTTAACTGTTAACTGTTAAGTCTACCTTCCTAAGAAATTTTTCTCCTTTGACACACAGGATTAAATTACAATAAAGAAGTCTTTCATGATGATAATAGTCATTGGGTGACAAAAGAGCTAGAGGAAAACAGCAACAGAACCAGAACAACTATAACACGTCTACCTACTACACAAGGAAGTAATCGTAGCAGAGATAGTGACAACGATAACACGCAAATTATTATTATTGTCTTTGCTTCAATTCTCTTCTGTATTGTAGCAGTTGGAATAATTCTGTATAAATATAGACACAGGTAAGTAATACAAAGCCAATGGAGCATGTAGATTTTAACTATTATGGCGGTTTTTTGTAAGGATATGTACGCACGCGCTTCAAAGTTACAATGTCACTTATTATAAATCCAACAATCATTTGTTAGATGTTCTTGTTGAAGATTTATTGTGTTTTTGCTGGCGCAAAATTATTATACAACAGGTTTTAAACCTTTGGCGTCTTAGCGACAATGGAAAACGGCCTTAACTCAAATCCGGCAGAAATTTAACCTATATAGCGCTGAATGTATCCTTGAATATTGAAAGAATTAGAAATATATTTCTTTATTCTTTTGTTCTGCCTTTTGATTCCTCTGTTTACTAAGGCAACGCCTTAGATAGTGGATTTAAAATTTCATATAACGGTATTCCTATATGAGTTTTTCACAACCGGTCCCCTATCCGCAAGAATTTCCAATAAGTATAAGTCTATATTTAAGTCTGTTTAATTGTTTTCTTCAACAGGTTTCTACGTCAAAAAAATCAAAAGATAGAAGAAATTCCAGGTAATTTAGTGAACTGCAAATAAGGATTAAACCTTGACAACAACAAAGATAATCGGTAAATTGTACTCGCTGCTTATAGTATATAGAATACATAAAATATATATTCTAGTATAGGTCAGTGTGGTTGTTGACTGTTATAGAATGTGATGATGTTGATCATGCAAAGACGTTTCTTTTCCTAGAAAACCAAAGTTCCTCATCCGATGTTGGAAGGTTGCCAGAGCCAGCAAACCTGTCCGGTGGCCAAGCAATTCCTACAGAATGTGAAGATTATGTTATACCAAGAAATGAACACGAATACCTGTATACAAACACCGGCGATCGAAAATCGTTTGCACCGACACAAAGCCCCAAATATGAGTATCCAGAAAGGCAATCATGCACCAACGAATTACATAGCCATGCATATGAGTATCCTTCACTTACTCCACCGCTTTTGAAGAATGATAGTGAAGGCAGTGCACTGTCAATGAAAAAGAAAGATACCGGTGTAATGGATGGCGAGTATTTTCCACTTGGAAAGCGGTCGTTAAATAATGATAAAGATGACCTTTCCGGTTATACATCTCTGTTGAAAATTGGCGATCAAAGAAACAAATCAGTGGAGTGATCGTTTACTGGACATATTAATGAGTGTCACAAAAGTTGCGCAAAGAATGTGAAATAGTTTTGATTAGGTAAAAACAGATTTAGATCGAGAACGGGATCGAACGTCAACTGACGACGTGAAAATTGCAAAAAAAGGCATGACCCGTCCATGACGTTCCTTTTCTCAATCCTGGAGTCTTGAGCGGAACATTTTTTTCAAAATCGTGAGCGTAAGACCTCGTAACGGCGGCTTTCTTTAATTTTAGGTTGAATTGATTCTCCAAATGCTCTGTTGCTTCTTAAAAAATTGCCTTTCATGTTGTTATAATTTTTTAAAACCATTTGATAAGATTGAAAGCACCCCAAAAAAGTCATCGTGAAAAAGAATTATTGAGAACTGGCAAAACGAATGACGTTTTGTTCACTTCATTTCACTTAAAAAACTTAAACTGCGTGTTTTTCAAAGGTCTATGCCTGAACTAATTTACAATCAATAAAGTCTAGTTATTTCCATGCATTGGTTTGCTGATTCCAGACCCTTGCTCCTTTGCGACTAAAATTCCTTTTCATATACAGTAGAACTTGTTTATTTGGAAAGCCTATATAGATTTAGATTTTTCACTCTAACATTTTTCAAATATAGATTATGTAGAAATTATATTTCGAGATAGTACTCTTAATTTCTCGTCTTTTTCTCATAAGGTTGGCATGCACTGGAGTTTTATGTTAGCGTTAACCACAACACGAGCTCTTCTGTCCTCTTATTTTTGGTTTGAAGCAAAACTCTTTCCATTTTATCAAATCTCACAAATTTGAAAAGCATTATATGAATGACGCTTTATTAGAGTGGGAAGGCTGCACCGCCGCAGGTTTAATTTGTTTACATGATCACAGTTAAGCTGGATTTCCACTTGGAGGGAAATAGTTCGCTAGCGAACTATTTCTCTGAAAGTAGAAATCCACCCTTACCTAGAAAGGAAGCGCGTGACACGACTGTGAGGTAACACGATGCTAATGGTATAGTGTATAATCATGCATCCTGATTCTGTATATAATTGTGCTTATGCAAAATTTATTATAACTTATTTAACGCGTCGTTCATCTCAGGAAATTAGTATTTATGCTGCATGTCACTGCATGTGTATATATAATATAGTAAAAAATTACAAAATCGTGACAAAAATTTTAAAATCAGTTAAGAAACTACTTGTTTAGATGTGATTGTGTGAAACTTTCTGTGAAAACTTTTACCAACATAAATTGATGATCAGGTTCTTTTCACCGTTCAGCCAAAGGCAACAGTGCAGTGTTTATGACGCCGATGACACTTCCCCCCACGGAACTTAAAATTGTGCGAAAAATTGCAACATCATACAAGGTGAACGTAATAATTATCAGGACTCGCCACGCTTTGTTAGAACTTCCGCTTTTTAAGAAAGCGTGGGATGCAACTGTGTATAAACATGTCATATGTGACTGTAGCGACAACAGCAAACTGCCTTTACGAAACTTTGAGTGTCTATCATCGGATCGATCAGTTTACTGTAATTGCGATCTCAACATGCAGGTTTCATTGTTGTCAACAGTAATGTGGTGTTTTACTCTGTCGACATCGGCATTATTTCTAACTCAAGGCAAGAACGTGAAAATATTTCGGGCAGAACGCGACAGATTTACAAACGTTGCTCGTTGTAACGAGACGAGTGCTGTGTGTTTCGACGAAAACTGCAATTATTGTCAATGCATGATGAATCAGACATATATACAGATGAGGGGACAATATGGGGAGTGCGTGTCAAACGAACATGTAGCCTATGCAACAGGTAATACTGTCTTTACTGAGCTATTAATTTCTCGGCATTAAGTGAGTTACAACAATTAATGGTGAATTTGAAAGTTAATATGAAATAAATACGGTTGAAATATTTAACCATAGCCAGGTCCATAGTCTAAACGGACGAAGCCATGTTGTTTTTGATTTTCTCTCGTATATCCGTTCAATGAATTGTAAACGTATTTATTAACAGGAAATAAAATATTTTGATACCTTAGCTTCATTTCGTGCTTTCTGCTGGACCAGCGTACAAACTGAAACCATACATGCATTTCGATAGACTAGTACACAACTAATATACAAAGTTTTCGAAACGGTTAACCATTCAAGTTATAAGCATGCACCAGCACCACATGATGAGGTTCATATTGCCCAACTTTGATACTCCAATTACCCTTATATTACCGTTATTATATATAGTGGTTGCAATTATAATGTCTAGAATATATATTTTTCATCTGCATGCATCGACAGATACATATTATCATTATATATAGACATCCCTCGATCAGCTACAGACTTAAGCCGAGTCAATATATATAATATGGTTTGCTACTTGCTATTTCCTTTATTTATTAATAACGGGAATTGCGCGTTGAAGCTTTAGTATCAAGGACAAGGATAAAAACATAAAAATGTTGACAAGTCAATACATATTATATTGAAGCTAGATTCAACGAGGCATGAAATTATTTTGAGGTATTTAAATGAGCAGATGACATGATCCTGGCAGTCGTATAATCACCACAACAATAGCATGTGCTTGTTTGGTGTCATAAAGACTTTTTTCAATACCTCAAAGTCCCGTCACGCTTTGTTGAATCTCGGGTAACCGGGCTCATGTAAACAGCCCCTAAAATGGTTTGCATGCATAATGTCGCGAGAATTTTTTGTACGACGAAAACTACTCGTAAAATAATAACTTTTATCTTTGTGAGTTTGTGTCAGATTTCGTCAGTTAACAGCTAAGGTGGACAGGTTTTAAAAAGGCCCTAAATAAACCTGTCAATTTCCCATTGTCAGCCAATCATAGTAGAAGACCTGAGATCGGTTGTAAAAAACTGGATTGCGCTACCTGTCAATCGTTTCCAAATTGCTTGTTGTACACTGCTAGACGAAATACCTTTGGAATAAACTAGTAAAAAAGTCCGAGGAATAGCGAATGTTTTTAAATTTTTGTGTCGACATGAAGCAAGAGACGATATTTTTTCTTTATTTTACAGCATATAAATCTTCATTTCTCATCGTAAGCAATCTTCATAGCAAATGTATTTACCAACGTCCATACAAATATTACACGTTTGTCCGAAATGATATTTGTAATAACAATAATTCAAATTATCGTTGGATCTGGACCAGCCATGGGCAATTGTTAAACTGGGCTACCTTAGAATGTGCGACAGATGATTTTTACAGTAAGGAAAAAAATTATCACCTTATAATGAAGAGATGTGACCGAGGTAATCAGAAGCAACTATGGAAGTGTGTGGGTGAAAAAAAATACGACATGCAGTCAATGACAGGCCGATACATCTACTATGGATATTTTACTTTGATGGGGAAAAATCAGACTCAAAAGACCGAATTGAAGCGCTTCGGTTCTCAAAATGATGTATGTTCACAAGGTAATTCCCAGCGGAACGTTTCATTTGGATTGAATCTATGCTCTATATGTGTCGAAATGTCTGCTATATAGCTGTGATAAACTGTAAACTCAGTAACTCACTATACATAAGGTGTTAGGTACACATCACGTGCACGTTCAAAAATTTTAATATAGTTCCAACTTACCATGACTCATGCTATGTGTTTTCAGGTGTTACAAGATGTGACACGTTTGTAGACGGTTCATCACTCGTCATCCTTAACAAAACAAAATGCGAGGAGAAAGAGTCAGAATGCATCGGAACGAAGACAGTTAGTTTGGAGGAAATGAAATGCTTTTTCTTGCCAAACAGAACTCAATATTTACACAATGAAACATGGCAATCGTTGGAAATAAAGAACAGTAGTTTACGAATAACTTCAACTGAGGATAAAGTACACCTAAAGGTAATATTATATAATTTATTATACTGTATCCTACAATATCATAAGGAGTAGGTGAAAAGAGCTTTGTCGGTTTTTTAAACAAACTTGAGCGAAATATCAATCAGTTTTGAAAACTATAATATGTGCACGCGGAGCAATTTATTTATAGCAATAATAATATATGGGTTGCAAAAAGTGAGCGTGAAGGTATTTAATTACCATTTTAATTATGATTTTCTAAATTTACTCTTTGTCTATCTTGCAGTGGAATTTGAAGAAAACTCCACAATATTTAGAAGGATTGATGGTCAAAGTAACATTTACTTGTGAAAATACTTCAACAAATGCAGGGACAATTGAACATTGCATCGTGATAAAATACACGGGAACATTCACCGGTAAGAATGGATAATTTTCAAGTTTACGTGGTTATGATTAGAAAAAATAATCAAGAATCTAAACTTATTTCAAGATAAGTCAGGCCGTTGTTAATAATTGCTGTGATTTGATGCTGAATAAAGAAATCTGCTTTTAATGGTAAAAGGTAACAGACGTAAGACAAAGTGGTTGCTTTTCAACAGTCTTGGAACTGATATAAACATCAATTTAAAACAGGTTTCTATGATGAAGTCGAAGATAATGGTGACAACAGTAATGAGGGTAATGAAAATAGTGACAAGTCTGATCCAGATAATGACAAGGAATACAACGCAACGACAGAAGACAAAACCAATGGTCAAACTATAATTATAATTGTCTGCGTTTTGGTAGTCCTGATCCTCGCTGGTATCATCATGTTCGTCGTCTACAGATACAGACACAGGTGAATACTTTTAAGAGCCTTTTTGTATGTCGATACCTGCATGCTAAGTCAGGAAAGGTATTGATTGTATGGCAAATGAAAAGATATATTTTGCGTGTGTAATCGACGTTAAGCGTGTGGAGTGATTTTATTTTTTAGGTGCGTTCGTCCAGCGAGAGAAAAAACAGAAGGCAATGGTAATTATACCATCTTTTTTAAAAACATCGTTACTGTTTGTGTCCATGCCTCAGTAAATAACACCAGTGTATGTGTTCATAAATGGAGAATGCATTTCCATGATTGCAAAGAAAATCGAATTTAACTTGAAAAATGTACATATGCTTCACGTAAAGGCTCTCGTCATCCACTCATCGCAATAAACCAACTCGCAAGCTAACTGCGAGTAATTTCGTCCAATCACAATGCTTGACAATTTATTTTAATTAGATGCAAGCACTCGCAGCGAGCTCGCGAGTGGATTTTTCGATGAGTGGAAAAGAGCCTCTTCGTCGAAAACTATATAGCCTAAGGTTTCAAACTTTTCTTCGAAATACTTCTAGCCGAGCATTGTTTATTTTCAGCCGCAGAACCCACACCTACAGAAGAGGACGCAGATGCTCTGAACCCGCTATATCCAGCAAACAACAACCAGATGGCTCAAAGAGAATGTGATTTATACGAGCCAACCCCTGACCATCTTTATCAATATGTCGACGTTGAAAACAAAACAGCTGATCCGCCACTGCAAAATTTAACATATGACTACGCCGTCGTCGATGGTCCAATCAACCAAAATGTACCGCAAAAGACAGAACTTGATGAAATACAAATGGAAGCTGTGACAGAGAGTAACGATGAAAAACGTATTGGCGATGGCGAAGAAGAAATGAAGGAAACGAAAGATACAGTTCGATCTACAAAACCTCCACCACATAAGTATCACGTTCTTGAAGGACCGTAAATGTTTTTAGCTTTGATTATATAGCTGACGTTCATTTTACAATATACAGGGTATTTTTTAAACACTCAAAAAAGCGTACACTACACCGAATTCATTCATTGTTACAATTTGAATGGATTCAGGGCATCATGAGTGACCCATGCAGAGTGCCTCTTAAAAGGCTGACCGTAAAAATGTTCGTAATGGGTTCAACTTGGTGCTATTCCTTAATTCAAAGTGATTTCATTAGAGAAACACTCTGCATGGAGCTCATGATGGAATGCTAAGGCCAGTCCAACGCCAACAACAGATAAATTCGGTATAGTGTTCGCTTCTTTGACAAACTCTGCGTTTTTAAACATTTGTGGACGCTAGGAATATTTTGATAACATATAATTAACATTTTCTTCAATCACACAATACATGATTATTTCACTTCACAAAGCTAATCGTCAGGGCCAACGTTAGAAGATTAAATGCATGGAGAGGGGGGTTGATATATCGTCTTTCTTGAACACGAATATACAAACAATGTACATCGTCATGGACAAGGTGGACAAGGTTGCATAAAATTATCATGATATCATCAAGCTGCATTTTCTATGCATGCATGTGAGTATTCTTGAGGATAACCTTGTATGGCTTGGGCAAATGATTGGCGCTCAACATTGCACTTGAACTTCATTCCAAAAAACGATAGCTTTTATTCCAATTAAAAAACGTTTCGCGTTTTATATATAGGATGCAAACACAGTTATAATTTTACGTTATTTAATAGAATGCTTGTAAATATTTAAATTAAGTTTTATGCAATATAATATTGAAAATTCACGGAATAACGAATCTCAGTGTCTTAACTCTGATCTGCCTGGGTATGCAATAGATATATGGACATATTCGCTATCCGAAAAAAATCGCCCAATCTCTATGGTGCGTTTTTAGTGCGTTTTAGACCATCTCGGGTCTGTTCAAACGCAGGGTGCTTCTCTTGCTTCTAATTTCCTGCGCAAATAATGCAATCGATCACAAAGCTTGAGTTATAAAAACTATTGGCCACGCTTTTCCATACATTTTAGCCACTGTTATAAAGACTCAAATTAATGAACTTTCGTCTTAAATAGCTTAATTTGGGGCTTGTATATTCATATATTCATGCATACATGTTCAACTGAGCGTAAAAACAATCACTATATTACGTCGGGCATAAGACGAAGCAATTCGGTCATTCGGACAGCAATTTCACACCAGTGACGGCACTGCGAGTTTATATGCCCGGCCATGGTAATTCATCTCTGTCCATTTGCTAGCGATTCGGGGTTGGTCTGAATTGTTTTATAAAGAATAGGAGTTATAGGACTACAAAAAATTTGACTTCCGCTTGTTGGTGACAAATTGCGTAGCAAAATAACAAATATACACCGCATGATATCACATATATATCGCAAGCGGAACTGGGAATTGATCAAGTATACATAACAAGTTAAAAGCAATGAAGACGAAGTGGCTCTTTAATTCACTCTCAAAAATGATTATTTTGTTCACAATGTCGGTAATATCAATATTCTATCAAGCTGAAGGTCAAAATATAAGTATAATAAGAGGGGAAAACGATATTTTTACGAATCCTGCTGCCAATGTTAGCTGTAATTCCACCAAGGCTGTTTGCTTTGACAGGAATTGCACATATTGTAAATGTGAAAAGACATGTCACTCTTTTGTACAATCAAGAGGCACTTATGGGGAGTGTGTACCAAACGAATACTTGGTTTACGTTACATGTAAGTAGCTCATGCAATGCAGGTGCATTAGTATAATATAATGCTTCGTAAAACCCTGTGCTTGCAGGTGCATATATATATATATAGTTCGCGCCATTAACCTACTGTAAGTTAGTTGTGAATTGTATACTCAACTAAATTGTAAATAATCAACTATATAAGCTTTGTATGAATTTTTTATAATGAATTTTATTTTCCAACTACTATTGTTTCCAGATCGTGCAGTTGTGCTATATCAACTTAGACCTACTATTGTAATTACTATACATTTCTCAATCTACAGCATATAATTCATCCTTCCTTGTGCAAGACACCACGAATAAATTATGTTTGTATCATTATAGACCATCTAAAATCAGGTTCGTAAAGTTCATATAATTTGCATGCATGAAATTTCCTCATACAATACCATAAAAAAAGTAACAAAAAGGTATTCCATGTCTGTATACATACAAACTAATAATTATCATATATCGCCGTTCGCTATGGAAAATTACAGAAATATCATAAATTCATAAACATTCCAACGTTTCCATGTTTTTCAACATCATGCATGACCTGAAAGGCACCTTAAGGCTTTATTTACCTCGCTTCTTTTGAGTTTGCTTTCTGGTCTGCCTTTTCTTCAAGTTATTGTGATCTGAACATTTATTTACCTTCAAGCAATTTTCAGAAAGTGCGTGTATACTTTAATTTCAGTGTATAATTGTTACAGATATGTCATAGCAACCAAGTGCGAAAATAATGCTGGGAGACGCTGGTTTTGGACAAAAAATGGACAACTTTTGAATTTAGAAAGGCTTGAATGTATCAGCGTCGGCCAAATCGCCAACTACCTCATACTTACGCAATGCGACGTACAAAAGAAAAGGCAAATATGGACTTGCAGGAAAAATTATCCGTATTTTCTTTGGCAACAAAAATCGCGGGGGTACTTGCACTATGAATACCCCGAAAGATATAAGTTTTATTATGTACTTAGCCGCGCAGAGAGAGCTGGAATTCTTAAATGGAAACGGTATGGTTTAAACCGAACAATATGTTCAATAGGTAAGTTATAAATAACAACGAGGTATAACCGCAAGCCGATCAGCCCCCCACCCCAAATAACACATGAAACCGATTTCCATTATATGCATGTGACTAAAATAGATGTCGTTTAAAGGGGGATTACAACGGCTTTTTGTCATCAGTTCTGTTCGATCGGCCATTACGGCCAATAATTACAGCATGCAAGCTATCACTATATATAACCTTCGTTAATTGTTTATGCAGGTTTCTAACACTATTGGTTTGTGTTTGACGCATTTTTTGGGATGAATTAACTTTTAGTAGTAAATTATGCAACTTAATATTTCATAAATACTGATTTCAAAAGTTTTTTGACACACCCTGTATGTAACGTCTTTATTAGTTCTCTGTGGACTATTTAAGCAATCTCAGGACCGGTAAACATGCTTCCTTTTTACCGGGAAAAACCTAGCAACATACGTTAAGGCTGAAAAATTTTTAAAAGCATTTCCAAGCATTCGTCTCCTAAATTACCATGATATAAGGGGGGGGGGGTGGTACTTGCCACAACTTGCGAAAAATCATGAACACGCAAATAATATTTGAAGAAATATTTTGAAGAAGTATTCATTTTTCAATTATTTTTGAGCAGCTGTTGGATGTGAAATCTTCCATGATGGTTCATCCATGCTTATTTTAAATACAACACGGAATTGTGAACGGAAAGCAGAATGTTTGCATGGGGGGAAAGAAATAGATATTTCCGATGCTGCTGAGTGTTCTCTTCTGCCAAATGAAGGACAGTACTTACACAAAGATCAATGGAAATCATTGCTGGTGGAAAATGAACCTTTCAAAATAGAAACGAGCAAAACCAAAACGTCATTTAAGGTATATAGCTATATATATATATATACATTGGGTTTATTTAAAAGCGAGATTACTGTAGTTGCCGTACGTATCTTTATATAAACACAGTTGACAACATTGTTGTTATCTAGCTTAGTCTGTCCACTTCGAGAAAAGAAATTAAGTTCCTACAGATTGGACAAACGCGTACTTACTAAGAGGCTATGCGTACTTCGGATTATAGTTTGTAGGTACACCAAAACAAACTAATTACTTATAATTATGTTCGCAGTTGCATGATCAAACGTGTATACAATATTTTTCAAGAAAAAACCCATTTTTGTTACAGCGGCAGAGAAGACGTTTTCTAACATTTTACTGAACTAAAGTAAATAATACTGATTAACAGGAAATACTTTAAAACGATACATTGCTGCTGCATGTGATGTCCGTTACTGATATATATATTCACATGCACTCACTCAATTGTTGTAGAGATTTACTTTCTTTTAAAGTGGGATTTACTGCAAACACCAGAAAGTTGGAAAGGAATAATTGTTAAAGTACAGTTTCAATGCAAAGTTGGTGGAGATAAAGAAAATGAAACAAGAGTCTACTGTGTCTTGATTAAATACACAGGACTTTTTACTGGTACGTATACATGCATGTGTATAAAAATGAAACACTTGACCCGCTTATGATTATTTATTTAGCCTACAGCTGAAAATTCAATTTATATAAACTGCTTGTTTTGACTTATTTTTAAGGCTTTGAAAAACAAGACGGAAAGAATGATCATCGTGAGGAAAACAAATCTCGCACTAATGTTATAATCGTATCTATCTTGGTAATTACTCTTTTTGTTGTTATTGGACTGGTCGTGTACCTTGGATACAGAAACAAAAACAGGTAAACACTACCTGCATGATAATACAGCAAGTAATGCCAACAATAGATTTATTGTAATGATGGTTTTCAAGAGATATTAAAACAATGGTATATTTTACTAATTTTTTTCTGAAATTATAAAAGGCTGCTGCAAGCTTGGACGTAGAAGCAGGGTCGATCTTTCAATATTTATGCATATACAATTGTTATGCCCAATTGTTATATGCACAATTGTTAGTATTAAAATAACAATTATTATTGCCACACGACTCAAAACGTCTATATTAAGTTTAGATAAAACAATTATCTAAAAGGTACATTGTTGATGGGTAATTATTACCACTTCTTTATTATATACATCATTTTTACTTTTTTATTAGATTGGTCACCTTATGCAGAAACATACAAAAACCTGGTAACACGATTTTGCATATATAATTTTCCGGTTATAACGCATAGTATAAAATATTTTAGCTCTTCTTTTTAATTCTAATAGCCACAGATGTAACAAGAAACACATCTCCCGGACAAAAGTCTGGTATTTCAAACAACCCGATCTACAACTCCAGCGACAATTATAAACATTCAGCCCAAAATGATTGTGAACTGTACGAGACAACTGATGCTGAGCATGTGTATTCGTATGCTAATTCTGATCATGAACCCGACGAGCAACTGCAGCCAAACTTAACAAATGATTATGCTCTACCCGATGACCACACGAGAATCGGTCAGCAGAAAATCGCGCGAGAAGATGAAGAGGAGAAGAAAGCGGCCCAAAGTGGAGCAGAACTAAACAATACGAACCAGTCATCACCTGTGTATCACGTTCTTGAAAAAAAGATCTAAACCTGCATATATCTTAACCTAATTGAAACTGCCCTGTGATTCTATTGACATCATTAAAAGGTGGGCAGACCTGGAACAATACATATATTCAACCGTGAATTGTTCATTTTCAGTTCACTTAATATTGTCTCAAAACTTGTTTTCCTTAGCAACTATAGCTACAAAGCATTCTATCTGTACTGTTTTTCTAAGACACCGCGCATGTTGGCAGCATGGTGTCAAATATATTGTATAATGTTTTTATGTTTATACAATCTACCTAAGCAACAAAGTCGTGTGTATGATCATTTGTTCAAAATGCACTACTATATATGGAGGGTGTGCGGTTTTCACTATTACTATAATTATAGTATATATAGTATACTATATAGACGATTAATTCTAGATGTTATTGGTACAGAAAGCATCTCCCAGTATATTATTTATATATATTTAAAGCGCTTTTTTCTAAATTTGCTGGGAGTTAACCATACAAATAATAAGGAAATTCAATAATATAATGCATGGCAATAAACGTAATTCTAAAACCATGCAATATTTCAAAATATTAACTACTTTTATGCTATGTTTTGTAAGTTTCGTACGAAGTTATATTTTCGTCTTCTCATAGTTTATACCCATAGTTTAGAAAGTAAGAAATTCAGTTTGACGCCCGATCACATGCACAAAATATTCCGGCTCCAAAACAGGACCATTCTCTGGGAGATCCAGCTAGACTAAAAGCATACGTGCTCAGATTAAACAAAAATCACTTTTAAACTAAATCCAATATAAAGACAATAAGTGGAATTGAGATCATATTACAATGGTTAAAAAAGTTGTGCATCAAAATAGTAGGCGAAAGCTAAGAAACTTGTTATGCATTGTTATTATCGTCATTCAATATTTCTAATTGAATTGTAATTAAGGAATTACCTCTAGACTAAATTTCCTGCTAATGAGCTACCACAAGTACCACCAAAACCGTCTTTGTTCTGACGAAGTAAATATAGAGGATATATATTATCTTTTATAAATAAAAAAAGAAAGCACTAAGCTATAACTATAAAGGGGTGGCAATGTCAACGAAGAGAAATCTATTGTCATTAATGTTCATAATATCACTTGGAGTTATCTTTCATCCTGACGCACTACAAAAACACGCATGCAGAGTTATTGTTGTTCCGGAATTGCCAAAAATTTGGCACCGCGAGGCGACGTAGCCTTGAGCGAAAAATATTTAAACAATTATATATAAGAAAAAAAATCGCATTCACCATCCTGACAACTACAAACAGGGTATATAGACTTACGAGACGGAGGGAGGATGAGTTTCCATCCGGATTATGTGGGCAGAATTGGTAGTAACGTTGGGCAAATTGTATTAAGCATGCTTGCAGACAATCTTTGCTGTGATAATTCCATAAAAAAGAAACGGCAAATCGCGTGTCCGAGAGTTCAAGTTTCAAAATTTTCCCAGGATGAATGTCCTTGGACCAACACCCGTGCGGTTGTCGATCGGACGGACATTCGTCTAAAAATATGTCACTATATATTCAGATTAAAAAACCTGAAGCACGGAATTAATTGTTCAGCCAATTTCTATACGACATTGCGGATAATCTTTCAAAAGATAAAAGTATTTTGTTTTCCTTTATTCAGCGAGCAAAAAAAACATTCTTTGTTCTAGATTGATTTAGTTGGTAGCTAAGGCCAACGGAAAAGGAAACATAAGTAGTCTTTGAATTGATGCCTTTCATTTTAAAATCATTTTGAGATCTTCCCGATTCACTAGTGGTGGTATAGTTCTGAACTTCCCTTCAACTTCGGAATCTCCTTCAATACCTTTAACACAATTCAGGAGGGCCGAAACAAAAGGTATACGAACCAAGTTTAATACAATGGCGAAACTTTGCAAGGTTTTTTTCTTCCTCATATTTCAAATGACGTTTGAATTTACTTCTTCGATGTATCACATTTATCGCGGTGACATGGACAGGTTTTCGCGCAGTATCTTTCACAAGGTTCCTAAGAATACACCGTGTGGTGATGACGGTTATTGTAGCTGTGAAAATTCGGAAACGTTTACGTATGGCTACGACAAACACGGTCATATAAAAGGAGAATGTACAAGTAACATAAAATTTTTGTCCAAATCAGGTAATTTTCAAATCAATGTGATAAGTTGACTTAGCTAAGGCATATAATATCAGTAACTATATCTGCGACGGCCAAAATACTAATAGGGCTACTTCTAGATATGCTGTCAATCTATACTGCATGCATACACTTATACTGTGGGCGATTGTCTTCTGACGATATACTGCATGTGATCGTTTGAAAGAGTGGCGAACTAAAGACGAATATACAAGCCACTAACATATATGAAACATTTTTCAAAAATATACAAGAGTCAATATACAAGAGACATTTTTATAAGTCAATTAAATATCGCAATAATGAGCTAGGTATAGCCTTGAGATGATAGCCTTTTATAGGATACGACGAGACATGCAGCAAAACATGCACAGGGGTCAGATGAGACTATATATAGTACAGCATTCTAAATCGCACATAAGGTATAAGAAATGAAATAACATGCAATAAAACATGTATACTGTTTAAACATACAATGTACCTTTGAAATAATTGACAAAACAATCATGATGCTAGCATAATGAAGTCTGAAATATTGTGAATACGATATAAGACCAACCAATTATAAATTATATAAGCTTACTATATTCAGATTATATATTGTATAATGCAAACAATCTTTCATTTTAAGGTTGTGAAGCGGTTTCGACCGGCTCTCCCAAGCACACTGAGATACAAATTGTGCATCGACACGATTCATTTCTGACATTTTCTTTGATCACATCCACTGATGGATATCGATGTCATCGGAAAAGTACGAATTACACAATCAGTGGTGATTATGAAAACTGGATGACTACGGGCAGCAATCCTGGAAGTATTATTGTAAAACAGCAAAATATTTTAAAACTGCAGGTATATATAAAGCATGCATGCATACCACTCGGTACGATTATTTGTGATCATGCAGAACACTATAGTTCAAGCAAAAACGACACAGTATAGGCTATATGACAAGTTTTAAATCGATCAAAATATTGATTATTCTCGATTTTGCTTTCAAATGTTCATTACATTATTTACTTTCTCTTTAAGATCAAAAATACTAGTGAACTTCTGTCAATGTATCCTGGAATGTTACTAAAATTACAAATTGAATGTCGATTCTCGAATGGTTTTCCAAGATTTCCAAAAATTGAAAAATGTTTACTACTTAAAATTGAGGGAAAAACAAACGTAAGTATTCTATTTGTTATTTGGCTTGGATGTATGAATTCTTATTTGTTGTCTTGTTTGCACTGTCTCTGCTGTCTACCGGCCATCCATATAATCGTTTATTAAATTGTTTAACAACAATTAATTGTACCTAAAAGGGTAGTTTTTGTTTTAAGCCGGTTTTATTCACTTAACGATATTTTTCACGCGAAGCGAATTTATTCTCTTGTATTTGAGCAATTTGTTTAGGATGGTTGCGGTCGAGAGATTTGAATAAAAAGTCGCTTCGCACGAAAATTGCCGTTATTATGAAAAACCGCGGCCTTACTTGTGGGCTTTCAGAAACAACCTTATAAAACCTTTGCTACGTGAATTTATTTTAAAACTAAATATTTTTATGTGCATGCAGATCACCACAAATTTAGTGCCACCTAACGTCACAACATTTTCACCTACACCATCAACAAAAATATCAACCCAACAAGCGCCAGAAATAATAATGGCACCACAGACAGGTTTCAATACAAAAATATCCTCGATGGCCCCGAAGACCATTTTATCGACCACAGTCACCCCATCAATATCAGATCCAGAAAGCGATAACCGTGAGAGTAAGAAAGGCGACTCGAGTAGCCTGGTACCCATCCTGGTGCCAACTCTATTTGCATTTGTCTTGATAGTCGTGTTATTTGGGATCTTTATGCTTCGAAGTCGGTTAAGGTAAACTGGAAATGTTTCGTGCACTTGTTGTTGTAGTTGTAGCCGTTATAAAACTTATATCTATCTATCTATATAACTTCAATTGTGGCTTCTTTTTATAAAGATCATCATCCGCGAGCATTAAAAAGGATTTTCACAACAGTAAGTATTGTTTCTGGGTTTAGTGTAAAGTTACGTCATGTTCTCTCAACTTAATTTCTCGTGCATTGCGTGGGCTTTGTACGAAGGCTGGATAGCGCTATCCACCGGATAGTGGTTCTTTCAATCGCTTTAAAATCGCCCGTTGTCAGTGGGTATAACTTTGATTAAATCTCAGTATTTCTAAATTAGGGAACCTCTAATAATTTGTCGCTTCAAAGCTGAAATTATATTGCTTTTCAAGCGTTTTTAGAACGGTTGAAAAAATCACTATCCGATGAATAGCGCTATCCAGCTTTCTTATACAACCGCCCAGCTTCTTAAATGCTTTGAATGCATTATGGAACACCAAAAATTACGGAATAATTAATAAATTCCTACAATAATTAATAAGTGCCTGGACATTTCATTGGCCAAAAACCACGTTTCAAAGTTATTTGCTTTTACTTCTAAGCGCCAAAAAACATTTCACCAGACCAGGCAGATCCTACGAAAGCACCTCAAGACTCCTCTCAATCCTACGACACGCCCGAAAGTCTGATATATACAACGCCGACTCACGATGCTGCTTACGAAAACACAAACGTGTTACGCCAAAGCGCTGCGAGCTATTACGAGTTCGACGATGAGGACGGCTATGCCGCCTGTGGCGATCCACGATTGCGGGATGGAAGTGAAAGCCACGTTGGCCACATATCAGCGCAGCCAACATCCACAAATTCCATCTACAAACGTTTACGAAAACAACGACTTGGCCCTAGCTCCAGAATCAACTGAGAAGGGTAATGATAACTTGGGATATCTGAATCACTCATTAGAGAAAGACGCTTCACGCGAAAACATCTATGACAGAGTTGCAGAAGATCCACAAGAACCTTTTTACAGCGTTTTAGAAAAACCAAACTAAATGTATACTTTTATTTTTTAATACTTTTATTTCGTACTAAATGTATATACATTTATAAAATAGATTTTTTGCTGTGTAGATGTAAATGTAAATAGACATGCAGGAGACCATTTTTATACTAAAGTATAGACACTGAGACAAATATTTATCCAAAACAATGTAAGATTTCTATACTCACTCATATAATCCGTCGTATAACTAATCATACAGAATGTATATTGAAACATTGATATAATAACACTTCAAAATTAAGACTCAGCAATACTCAATATATACATAATTATTCAAACTCGGAATACGTTTACTCTCCGTTAATTTATATTTTCCGTTTTCACTGAATGATATCTATAGTTAGACTCTCTCATTATTCGTGATCTTTGCATGGATTCCTGATTGATTCTAAAAAGATTACTTCTGCTTTGGATTCGCAAAATTTTATACGCCAACTAGCTAACTACCATGGCAACAAAACCACTGTTTACTTTTATGTTTCACAAAAAAACAACTAAACTATATTGTATACGCGCGTAGTTCTGACTATAAAGTAAACGCATGTTAACTTTTCCCAGAAAACGAGGGCTATGACCTGGAATATATGAAATATCATACAGATATATTTCTATTGCGTGATGTATATAGATAAGATTGATTAAGTGTACCAATAAAGGTGGGAGAATAATCTTCATAATGACAAAGTTCTCTTTCAACGTCTTTCATTTCCCAAAAGTTCACAACCTCCGTAGTTATCGCTATACAAATGTTCATGCAAATGGCACGACAGTCGATACTTGAAAGGGAGGCTTTGTTCTAATAATTAATATGCAAGGGGTGTTCAGAATTAAACGATTGAAAATAATTATTGTAACTTTCATATGAGCATTTTTTTCGACGTTGAGGACTTTGTTTGAAATATCGAAGATAAACTTGGAGCATGTTCCTGGACTAATGGCATATAATAACCAAAGTATGATACAATGGAAGCAGGTTGTTAAGATTTGTGGACTATTCTTTGTTGTTCTGGGAATTCAATGGCTTTTTCAATCTACATGGCAGACTTACGACCCTTACGGTTTATCAGCTACGACAATTTATCGCAGCTCAGTCGATACATTCTCCACACATATTCCGTATCAAATTACTGGAAACTTATTGATGTGGAGTTTTAAAAAGCAGAGTTGCTTGGACTCCGAAATATTTTCCTATAATGAATGGTCACATACAGGACAATGTGAGGAGAATCGCAGATTCGTGCTCCAGTCGAGTGAGTTAATTGAATACATCGCCGAGGATTTTATTAATAGTTTATTGATAACTAATGTAAAACGTAGTTATACCATATTATACTGAGTGAATGATTTGAATGAACTCATACTGAGGAATTACTAATGACGTGGCTTACCACTTTAGATTTAACAGGAGATAAAGCAGATAATTATCATATTCAGTTAAAATAATTTTAAAAAAAAGTTGCGTAATGTTCTAATCTGCACAATATCTAATGATATAACAATTTGTTGTTAAACTCATATAGGTTGCACCTCATTCTCAAACTTTGACTGGATAAAAATCCTATACGTTAAGCATTTGCACCCACGATTCTCATTTACTGCCCGAGGAACATGTACATTGCAAGGTATGGAATATAATGTATATGGGAATCATGAAGCCTGGCAGCTCACAGCGAATATACTGGGAAATATTTCCATCGAAAATCGCCCGTTTGATAAAACTATACAGGTAAAGTAACTAACTATTATACTTTGAAATGTTTATTGAAATCTTGATTAAAGTCCTAATTTATGCACATTATAGGTTTTCTTTTTCATACATATAAAATTTATAACGATAATGAGAGTGGATATTCGTCGTAAGTAGCACTATATGCCGCTGATATAATTACATTTTCTTCCGTGATAGATCAATAATCCTGGTGAATTTCGTTCGACGTTTTCTGGAATTTTACTCAAGTTAAAAATTAAATGTGTCAGAAATCGGAAAAAGGGAGAAAAAGATTCCACAGATATGTGCTTAATATTCAAAGTTCAAGGTAGAACAAACGTAAGTGTATCACATTTTTCTCCTTAAAGAAAATAATTACCATACATGCAAGCTGGGCATCCTACTTATTTGCGTTAGTCTTATAGCTCTGTTTGTTCATGTTTACAAAATTCATTTTCTGAAATCACAATTTCTCAACCATTCGCTGGAAGTTATTCGTAAAATGTCAAAGTATTTAGCGCGGTAAGGCTTCTCAACGTGTATCTGGTCAATGAGATAGTCGATCCTTTCTGATCAATGACAATGAGATAGCCCTTATTAATCATTGGGGTAAAACATTGAAAACCAAGCTTTTAATCGAGGAATCGCTAAGAAGCTCTCCGAGATCTCCGACCCAATGAGTTTGAATGCGAGTGAGCTTTTAGAATACAGGAGTGAGTGATTATTCTAATCTAGAGTTGCTACCATGCACCTTTTGAAGTTGTAAGAAAATTTCTACAGAAAGAAATTAGTTATAATTGTATATCTACAGTTACTCATGTACTAATTTCCATCGCCGCAAATGTTCTTACAATTTCAAAAAGTGGTAGCAACTCCAGCCTAGAATAATCCTTGGACTAAGTGTTTCCCATTTATGTATATCATTTCAGACTACACCAGATAGAAAAAGGCATATTGGTCGTGAAAGTGACCTTACCTTGGAATCTAATCTGGTATCGGTAATTTCGCTTTTGTGCGTCTTAATAGTCGTGCTCATTGGAATGCTAATTTCCTACTCCAGAAGACAAAGGTAAAATTATTGACTTTCAAGATATCTTGTCATTCGGAATTTGTTTTTTACTATCCGCATTGTGTTTCTATATATAGTCTTTAAAGTTGTTTGGAATTTTTGTTGTGTTTTTGTTCTTTTCTTTCTTTGCGCCGACATTACGTTGTGAATGAAATTTAAACTAATTTAAATCCTTTGTATGTTATAGATTCCCTAAATTAGAAGAAAGTAAACACGTCAAACCAACTAGCGTTCCAGAGCCTATTTAAAGGTTAATTTTCGACAGGCGGAGAGAAAGAGGGTGCGCCCACGGTAACCTGTATTTTTGTAAATTTCGATACTTTTTCTATAAATGACCACTATATATTACATTAAACTAGCCGACTTTCCAACGTTTATTTTCGCAGTTTACTTTGTCCTTTACAAGAGTGTGAGCTTTAATTTGGTGGATGGAAAATAGATGAACTTCAGTCTTCAGCCGACCTTCTTTCTCCGCCCGTGGAAAATTGAACCCCTAAAACTTTGACATTTTTTATGCCACATAGTTTTTTACAGTTTTAAATTACAGTTTTACTATAATTTTTACGTGCATTCGAAAAACAGTAAACCGAAAATGGAACAATTATTGTATTCTTCAAAATATTCGAGGCTTGTGTGAAAATTTCTTGCCAAAAAAATAATGAAAATATATAATGGTGAGCAATCTTCGGGCAAAAGTTTTCGAGTCAAGCTTCATACCACTCTAGCAAGTTTCCAACGCACACATTTCACTTGAAAGGTTAAGAAATAAAACGGCAAATGACCTGGTTTTCACACTTAATAATTCACAGTCTAGACTTTTACAAAACGCCTTTCCAACTAAAAGAGATGACCTTAGGACCTTTATGGAAGTGACAATTGACGTTGATTTCTTGTAGGACAATTGGACATAGTAACCTGGGTACTAGTACCGAGTGCTCATCCGCAAACTGCAATACCCCCTTTTTCGCATGCTTCTGCAAAGGGCCCAATATCTGAGTAGTCCGGCCATCTTGAATGGCATCGCAAATAATTTATTGACATTATAACAACTGTATTCTTATTAAACACCCGTTGGTGTAGGAAGGTTACCAAATCAACACTCCTCATCCTCATCTTCATCAAAAAGACCACAAAATATTATAATGTCATGCTAACGACACTATTCCAACTACAAACGGATGTACCAACCCTTCATATGCAAAATAGATGTAATTAGCGTAGGCATAGTCATTTAGCTCACAATAAGAAATTGTCGAATTATACTGTTAAGGAGCTATTAAACTGAAAACAATATTGAAAGTTCATAAGGTCTTTAAAAGACAAACTTATCGAATCTATGTATATGTATTTATAGAAAATCATTAGTATATTATTTAAAGCTATGTCTATTGGTCTATGGACATTTTTGGGGTCAGTATTATGTGTGTTAAAGATCAATGGACTTTTGATGAATGTTACAAGAGGATATCGGGACTCAATATACACAAACATTCAACAGATACCAACTACTGCCCGTATTGGTTTGATATGTGATGATGGAGCTAGGTTTTGCAGGTGTAAAAAAAATACAAATTATGTCCGCGGTAAATGTGTTAAGGATCATGAAATAGTCGAAGACAGATCCAGTAAGTACTTCAAAATTTATAATAATAGAGTTTAGACATCAACAGATCCTTTTATAAACTTTGAGGCAGGAAAAGAGATAAATATACTGTGAATTTTTCAATGTATCAAACCACGAGAAATAGCCAAGAAAGCCTTTTTCTGAGAAGCTTTGACTGCATGCATTGTAATAATAAAGTGGTAAAGAGTTTATACACGGGTAATGATGATTACCAACTTTGTTACAGAATACACCCATTTCCATTTGTCTTGTTTGAAAAATATATCCTTCAAAAGCTCAATTATCAGCTTGCAGTCCATTAATACATAACTAATTAAGATCCCTGTTCCAAATAAACATGAAAAATTGCGAAAATAGCAACTGAAGTTTACGCTTTATTCTACATGTAAAAATTTATTCTAAATGTAAGACAGGCGGGTGCTTTTAATGTTATAACTAGCGTATTAAAAAGGAGCCGGTGCTTGTGTGGTCTGGGCAGATCAGGTTATCCCGAATAGGGCCAAATGGTCCATTTCTTTCGCGACATGTGTATACTGCGTGGCTAATCAGGACATATATGTCGCCTGAAACAATGTTAAAACTTTGGAAGTAGGGATATCCGCTTAAATATAAACATGCTGTAAAACTAGCATAAACATTTTGCTGGGCTCAGATGAAGGATTTTCGTGACTTACGTTCCTACTAGAATCAAACATTTCTACTTTTATTAAAAGCATGTATCCCTGTTTCAAAAGCAAAATATAAACAAGATACTCGAGACTTGTCTCACTTCCTGTGATATGAAGACTTGTACGTGCGAAACATATTGTTAATAGTTCTTTACATACGGAATCACAAAAAACATCTGAATTGTCTCAAATTTGATGTACATGTAATGTACTATATACCCTAAACGACAATGATATTCAATCTTTATCGATGTCGAGATGACCCTGTATGTACATTTATCTTATCCACGCATGCGCAGATTGTGCCAAGTTATTTGTTATGTGTATATTACTATATAATCCTTTGAATATAACTGAGTTCCTATATACTGGCCATACACGCGAATTACATTTTAGCTGGGTTGAAGGCATGCAGGATTGAAAATAAAGTAAAAAGATGAAGTTCAATGCAAGTGTCAGAAAACAATGACATATTTCATTGTTCTTAATTATCGCGGAGGTATAACACAGAAAAAACCACAAATTTCAAGAATGCGGTCAAATATTGAGCCACCCACATTAAAAAGGAAGCAGCGCCAAATATCCACACGATTTGTCTGACAAATAAACGCGAAAGGTCTGACACATTTACACGAATATTTATATACATACTCACCTGCATGAACACACGGTCACATATATTGATGAAAATTAGCAAGCCTCGCAACGTCATATTCAAAACTGTAAAATGAATGAAATACTCAATTTTAATTATCAAGAGCAATCGCTGCCATCATATTGATATCTTTAAACAACAACCCCGCCATGCAGAACGACTTTAAATGGCATTATTAGCTATTCGGCTTAATTTAACTTTTTAAACTAGTAGCAGTTTATAAAAAGATAATATAGAGCTGCCTTGAGACGTATGCAAAAGCCAGTGTGTCAAAAAGTTAGTTAAATTTAGCTTTAAATTAGCTCGGCCTGTTGTATAAAAGCTAGTTAGCTTCTAAGTGTAGTTAAGGTCGGAATTGGCCAATCAAAATCGTGTATTTCTGAGTTAACTAGGATTTAACTGTGCAAAATAGAGTTAGATAGTTTTATACAACCGGCCCCAAAAATCAATTCTAGGACTTTTTGGAGTTAAAATACAACTGAACAATGTAGTTAAGAATTTAATTTATACAAATGACCACAGGTTGCTATCGTTTTGCTGATGGAAAGTTCATTAAACTCATCAACACTACACGATGTGCCGCCCATCATGATAGATGTAATCTTGAAATAAAAATACAGGCTCCAATTAATGCTGAGCACACAAAATGTCGACTGGTTTGGGAAACGTCTGCCGTTAGTATCAGCGGTTTCGAGTGGCGTTCTTTTCATGGGGAAGTAGTACCAGGAATTCAACTGAACACCACAGTTTATCCACCAACGTTACAGGTCAGTAACTACAGCTAGGAAGCTTTTTATACTGTAATTGCATGCGCAATATTTTTGTGATCGTGATATTCGTCAACAACAACCGCAATGAAAAAGTTATAAGAAGATTGAGATACTGCGTGAAATCAATGTCGTGAGTTCGAGTGTGAGTGAACCTTTATAGAATACAGAGCTGGAGTGATGAGGTGTGAGTGAGCTTTTAGAATACAGAGCTGGAGTGATATGAGGTGTGAGTGAGCTTTTAGAATACAGAGCTGGAGTGATATGAGGTGTGAGTGAGCTTTTAGAATACAGAGCTGGATCCGGAGTGGTGCGGTATGAGTGAGCTTTTAGAATACAGAGCTGGAGTGATATGAGGTGTGAGTGAGCTTTTTGAATACAGAGCTGGAGTGATATGAGGTGTGAGTGAGCTTTTAGAATACAGAGCTGGAGTGATACGAGGTGTGAGTGAGCTTTTAGAATACAGAGCTGGAGTGATATGAGGTGTGAGTGAGCTTTTAGAATACGGAGCTGGAGTGATATGAGGTGTGAGTGAGCTTTTAGAATACAGAGCTGGAGTGATGAGGTGTGAGTGAACCTTTATAGAATACAGAGCTGGAGTGATGAGGTGTGAGTGAGCTTTTAGACTATATACAGAGCTGGAGTGATATGAGGTGTGAGTGAGCTTTTAGAATACAGAGCTGGAGTGATGAGGTGTGAGTGAGCTTTTAGACTATATACAGAGCTGGAGTGATATGAGGTGTGAGTGAGCTTTTAGAATACAGAGCTGGAGTGATATGAGGTGTGAGTGAGCTTTTAGAATACAGAGCTGGAGTGATATGAGGTGTGAGTGAGCTTTTAGAATACAGAGCTGGAGTGATAAGGTGTGAATGAGCTTTTAGACTATATACAGAGCTGGAGTGATATGAGGTGTGAGTGAGCTTTTAGAATACAGAGCTGGATCCGGAGTGGTGCGGTATGAGTGAGCTTTTAGAATACAGAGCTGGAGTGATATGAGGTGTGAGTGAGCTTTTTGAATACAGAACTGGAGTGATATGAGGTGTGAGTGAGCTTTTAGAATACAGAGCTGGAGTGATACGAGGTGTGAGTGAGCTTTTAGAATACAGAGCTGGAGTGATATGAGGTGTGAGTGAGCTTTTAGAATACAGAGCTGGAGTGATATGAGGTGTGAGTGAGCTTTTAGAATACAGAGCTGGAGTGATATGAGGTGTGAGTGAGCTTTTAGAATACAGAGCTGGATCCGGAGTGGTGCGGTATGAGTGAGCTTTTAGAATACAGAGCTGGAGTGATATGAGGTGTGAGTGAGCTTTTTGAATACAGAGCTGGAGTGATATGAGGTGTGAGTGAGCTTTTAGAATACAGAGCTGGAGTGATACGAGGTGTGAGTGAGCTTTTAGAATACAGAGCTGGAGTGATATGAGGTGTGAGTGAGCTTTTAGAATACGGAGCTGGAGTGATATGAGGTGTGAGTGAGCTTTTAGAATACAGAGCTGGAGTGATGAGGTGTGAGTGAACCTTTATAGAATACAGAGCTGGAGTGATGAGGTGTGAGTGAGCTTTTAGACTATATACAGAGCTGGAGTGATATGAGGTGTGAGTGAGCTTTTAGAATACAGAGCTGGAGTGATATGAGGTGTGAGTGAGCTTTTGAATACAGAGCTGGAGTGATATGAGGTGTGAGTGAGCTTTTAGAATACAGAGCTGGAGTGATGAGGTGTGAGTGAGCTTTTAGAATACAGAGCTGGAGTGATATGAGGTGTGAGTGAGCTTGTAGAATACGGAGCTGGAGTGATATGAGGTGTGAGTGAGCTTTTAGAATACAGAGCTGGAGTGATGAGGTGTGAGTGAACCTTTATAGAATACAGAGCTGGAGTGATGAGTGTGAGTGAGCTTTTAGACTATATACAGAGCTGGAGTGATATGAGGTGTGAGTGAGCTTTTAGAATACAGAGCTGGAGTGATAAGGTGTGAATGAGCTTTTAGACTATATACAGAGCTGGAGTGATATGAGGTGTGAGTGAGCTTTTAGAATACAGAGCTGGATCCGGAGTGGTGCGGTATGAGTGAGCTTTTAGAATACAGAGCTGGAGTGATATGAGGTGTGAGTGAGCTTTTTGAATACAGAGCTGGAGTGATATGAGGTGTGAGTGAGCTTTTAGAATACAGAGCTGTAGTGATATGAGGTGTGAGTGAGCTTTTAGAATACAGAGCTGGAGTGATATGAGGTGTGAGTGAGCTTTTAGAATACAGAGCTGGAGTGATATGCATGAGGTGTGAGTGAGCCTTTAGAACACAGAGCTGGAGTGATATGAGGTGTGAGTGAGCTTTTAGAACACAGAGCTGGAGTGATATGAGGTGTGAGTGAGCTTTTAGAACACAGAGCTGGAGTGATATAAAGTGTGAGTGAGCCTTTAGAATACAGAGCGGGAGTGGTGAGGTGTGAGTGAGCTTTAAGAATACAGAGCTGGAGTGATATGAGGTGTGATTTGTGAGTGTGCTTTTAGAATACGGAGCTGAAAAGCGAATTTTAAATTCAATCCGTGCTTTAGTAGTCCCAGCATGAAGGAAAACGTTCTTAAATAAAAAAATCCATGTATCAAAATTTTAGATCATCAATGTACGTGATTTCCTATCCAAATGGAAAGGTCACTTGATCAGATTTGATATAGAGTGTAGGAATGATAATGGAAGTTCAGAACATAATTGTACACTATTCAAGGTTGAAGGAACAGCAACCGAGGAAGTAAGTGTAATTATTTATTCTACATTTTAATAATAATATAGACGTGATACTAATCCTTAACGCGGTACACTACTGTCACTACCCACTTTTATTCGTCCAAATATTCCAATTTAATTCTATTACCAAAAATTATTCAGGCCAAGATTTGCCATTGTCAAAGAATCAAATGATTTTAATTTATTTCATTAAATGTAATAACAAAAAAAAGTAATGAATTCCTACAATGCACGACCATTAATAATGACAGATTATGTAACGTACGCCTCACTTCGATTCGTTGAGTCAAAAGATTTTTGTTCATACAATTAGTATTGTTATATATATATCTTCATAATGGGGATCAACAACATGGCTCGCATTATAAAAAAGGTTCGTTTTGTTGAAAAAAATATATCAAAATAATTTCGTAGATTCCAGATCAAACAGCGAATACTCCATCTACAATATCAACGCTAAGTATGATGTCATCGTCTCCGTCATCATTTCATTCGGAGAAGCTAACAACTCCATCGCAAAAACTATCTTCAACGGAAATATCACCTTCAGAAAGGGACAGTCAAGATGAAAACGATGACGATGAAAGCTCTCCCATTTTAATTCCTATCATCATTTCAGCTTCCATCTTGTTTTGTTTATTGTTAGCAGCGACGGTGATAATAATTGTTTGCAAACGACAACAAAAGTATGTTATATCTACACTGTTATTTTAAGTAAATGCATCTGAATTGACTTTCCTTACTTTACGTTTAGTAAGTTTAGTGGTGCCTTAAAGTTTGAGGAATGATTCCTGTTAAAGAACATTTTATACTCATCCTTATCTTTTATCATTGTAGGAAGTTTGAAGGCGAAAACCAAAACGAAGAACATATTTACGAAGGTACGATAACGTTATAGTTGTGTCCAGCTTTACTATGCGCGCTGAAATATATAAACGACCAGACACTAGATTTATTTAAATTGTCATTATGTGCGGATAGGGAGCTAGTGACTAACAACACGGATTATCAGTAAGGTATATGCAGCCAGTCTTTCTGCAGCCAAAGCATAGGGGTGGCGTTAATTATATAGAACAATATTTACCACGTAAATTTTTTTCTTGATGGTTATAGTTGCAATCATAGGCATACAGTTGTATACAAATATTTCAAATTACATGTCGTAAAAAGTTCATTTTTCGTACTATCAAAGATTTCGGAGTAAAATAGAGTATAGGTATAAAAAACTAACATATACAATATTACCTTTTTGGTTCGTTGTTGTTTAATAAAATCAAATTTAAACCGCCGCTTTGACTACGCTGAATCTGAAAACAATTCAGGAAAACTTATATTCCTTTTGACGAGCTTTAACCGAGGGTCATGCAGATTATTCGGTTTTTGAACTAGCAAGATGTACCTCGTGTTTTGTAGTAGAAACAAAAAGTCACATTGCATGAAATTTTTCATCCATAGAAGCTCATCCTGTAGATAAAGGACCAGTATCTCCTATCTACATGGACATAGACAATCTGACAAGAAGCAAGAGCAAGAAGAGAAACAGCAGCCGAAAGGCAAATGGCAGTCAAACCTACGATGAACCAAAAAATCCCTTTTACCACACCCTGGAGAGAACAACAACAGATCGTACGAATGATAATAATGGCATTTATGAAGAAATAGACGATATACTAAAGTCACCTAGTCCTAAATCAAAACCAAAGCAATTTGAAGAAGAAATGGATGTTTAATGGATGTTTAATTGGGACATGTCTTACATCATGCTCAAACTACGGGTCGCTATAATAGACACTTTAAATGAAGTGGATTGCACGTTTTACTTTAACTTTACTTTAAACTATGCTAAAAGAAGAAAAAATCTTTCTTAAAAACGTGGATAAAAAAAAATTTAATCAAGAAAAAGTATATAAAAATATATATACTGTATATAAGTATAGACTGTATTTCAGAAATATGGAAAATAATGTATATAGTTATTATGAGAAGTTTTTTCAATAACAAAATTATATTAATCATATAAATCATTTATATAGTTGCAAATTAAAATGAATCCTCTCCTGCTACACATGACTCTCGTCATATATCACTGCTTTATTGCAGTGACCATTGCATATAGCAATAATACATAAGTTTAAATGCACATATTTTAACCTTAATTTGTGTTATATTTTCGATGAGGTGATGCGCGGGAAGCAGTTTTGATGGATGCAGTTACGGGTTAACTATAAAGCTGAAGCTACTATATAGTCACTAGAAAAAATCAATTGAAACCAAAAATATCCACAAAACCGAGAAAGCTGTAGATATAGCTACAACAGTACAATTTTTGCTTTCATTACCTGAAAATCAGGGTAACAGCGGGCTCATGTAAACATTCATCCCCTTAGTAGACTTAGTATACTGTAGATCTCAAATATAGTACAGTTTAACATACACCCACGAACATTGCTCGGTGCTCTCAAGGTTACGGCTTTATAGACCAGGATGGACAGATTACTGAAAATAGAAGCCATTGTAGTTGGCTCTTTGATTTCTTTGATTAAAACAAAGAAAATGAAGGTTACGGTAGTAATATCTGGCAGACTTATTCAGTAATATGGCAACCCAGTCATAGACACGTCGGCTGACTTGCAGTGTTTCCACCGATGCTGCATGCCAATACTTATTTTGGTAAAGTGTTATATAATCAGAGTGGTAGGTTACTGAATAAATGAGCCAAACATTGTTATAGACGGGCCTTAATTTGCTTTCTTGGTTTTCAAAACAAAGAAAACAAAGATTATGCTAATAATAATTGGGCAATATATTTAATGATCTACCTATATAATAGCCCCAATCCTAATTTATATTGAAAAAAATTCAATATATGATGTTCGATAAATAAATGTTGGTGACATTGATCAGGAAAAACGAAGATAGAAATTTAATAGACAATAGAATATTCACTGGCTGCCATATTAGTTTTTTGTTTGGCAGGCTCGCCGTATTCTTTAGATAATTAAGGAGATCATGCATTCTTATCGAATTTCATACAATCATAAGTTATGTAATTTTCTTTCCATATACTGACCGAGGGATCATCTGCATGTGCATGCATGTCTCTTTATAAATTACACGGGTTTATATGGCAAGGTAATGCATCACTTAATTTACGTGTTATATATACCGACACACGAAAACAGGAAGTTCTCCAGTTGGTTTGCGGTTTGTTTGAGTCAGCATCCTTTAGCACCGCCCAAGAATATATTCCCGCTTCATCGACAATATATAATGTACATAGCTTCGCGTGCCTTCTGGTCATTCCCGACATCGTCTCAGTTAGATATCTTATAATGAAGATAGCACGTGGCTGTTTAAAAAGCTGGATACTTTTTATAAAACTATTATTTTTTGTCGTTCACGTTCAGTCGGGTGAACCAAGAGGAACTTTGCCTAAAATTAAGCGTGGCGTACAAGACATAATCCAGTATGGTGAAAACTATCATAATATGGTAAATATTACAAATCTCGAAACTATGACATGTGATCATGAACAGAAAAGTTGCAGTTGCGGAAAAAAATATGGTTTTAATACTGTCGTTTATAACACCGATGAGAAAATTGTAAAATGTATAAAAGACGAAGATGTAGCTGGTGATATAGTTGGCCATGGTAAGTAAATCATGTTTGTTGCTCATTCGTACTATTAAATTTTCTTCTTTTCACTGATTGGTTAAAAAATTTCCGACGATATAATAAAACATATTCAAACATTTATATTTGTGAACGAAAATCAACTAACTTTTACCTTTATCTATAGCTACGATATTTTCCCACGAATTTACATTTATGATATAACATGCAATATCAAGTTCCGTTTAGTAAATACCGCAAAGCGTTAATTGTTCCCACAACTTTAAAATTAGTTTTTTTATCGATTTGAAAACGATACAGTGCGCACCTGTGTCGTAGAATGTTCTAACATACTCGTACCCAAGGTCTTTGACGCATGTAGCCGATGACACGACAAGGTCAAGGTTAAGTGAAACTATGAAGGGAACTTGAACACTGATCAGCTGGAACATTCGAAATGCAACGAGATTTCAGTTGCTTGCATGCTGTGGTTTTCATCTTCAACTTTTGGTAGGGGAATACTGTTATAACATGCAGTTTAATCATGCACTTTCGATAGCTAAGTCCCATTAAAACATATAAATTATGTAACGCAATAAAGGCATGGATATAGATTACATAATTTATAAACGAAAATTGATTATATAATTCACACTTAATTATATTCATTCTGCATGATTAAAGTTCACTTGAATATCACTTTGGATACTTAAACGCAAATATAAAGAATACAAGAATACAAGAATACACATTCAATCTTGCTGGGTGATGGACAAATATATAGAAATAATGATTGTCAATGAATGTTCTCCGGATTTAAAATAGTTTTTTATTGAGCTTTCGACTCGGTACGTTTCGAGTTTTCTTCAGAATATCTAAATTATTTACACGTGTCTAGCTTTATATATTCAAGTTTCACGCTGTTCTTTAAGACTCTGTATATACGTTGTTATATATATTCAAAGCGATATAGCTCGATATACTAGCTCATGTTTGCAATTCATGCCAGTTCGATTTGCATGCATTGACGCGAAGCCTTCCGGATGTTCATGCAGTGAATTGTTCGTATGGACAACTTGTGTATCATGCTGTTGTCCTGTTGTCCTTACCCAGCATCCTAGCTAAAAAACGAATTGCCGGCCACTAGCACTGATTAAAATTTTGCTTGCCTTGACAGATGGAAGCTACTTGAAAAACGGCAAAGGAGAATGTTTAGGAGTAAAAAATCGGATCATTTCTACAACAAAATGTTCTAAGGATGATCTCTCTCAACGTTGGTTATGGACAGGAGTCGGACATATACTAAATTTAAAGGCTCTTAAATGTTTGCAGTGGAACACTTCTACACGAGAATTCGCAACAGAACAGTGCAATGCAGCAAACAATGTCCAATTATGGAAACCTATAAATATCGGGAAGACCTGGAAAGTTACCCTGTCAAACGATGCTCTAAATTCCAGACCCCTTTTCAATAACTTCACAGGGAGTTTGCTAATGTATAAAGGTAACCGTGCTTGTGTTATATAAGTATAAAGTAGTATGTACATTCAACTAGTATAATTCCTAAAGAATGCGTGATTTGTTTAAACGCCCACCCACGTTTTCACGAAAACTACTTAAGTAGCATCTTTTCGTTATTTGTCTACCACCTGAAGATTCCTATACGGATGAAACAGACTGTAGTGGAAGCTTTTTGTTAAGAAAAACTTCTATAAATTATTCGAAATTCTATCTAGGTATATTGTATTGGCACCCTCAAATATGTATTTAAATACCACCTTTCTATAGGTTGTTATCGCTTTTCCCGAGATGAACTGACGGTTGTGGTGAAGAAACGAAACTGTAAACGCGTTTTTCACAACAAGAACTGTCACATCAGCCTGACCATTAACGCACCAATTTTCTATACACAAAAACCAGCTTGCAATATCATATGGAAAAACTCCATGTATTCGGTATTTGGTGAGGAGTGGAAGCCATTTTCGCTAAAAGATCCTGAAATGTTCACGTTGAATTCCATTGATACAGAAAGAACCTCTTTAAATGTGAGAAGTATTCTAGCTAGAAGTATTCTATATATATATATATATATATATATATATATATATATATATATATATATATATATATATATATATCTATATGAGGCTGATATGTGACGTATTACTCATATCAAGTTACTCTAACCAATCAAGAGTCACAAAATCTTCTTCTCAAATCACAAACCAAATTGTAAGAGACCGTGGCACAATCTCTATATTGCGTGCATTATACAGCCACAAAAGATCAGCAGAGCTATAGCATAGAGGCTAAATTTGAATTTCCGCACTAGATATGTTTTCAGTAACGGATAAATTTCATTTTACCGACACGAGTTTTTGTTTTCGTTCCTATAATTATAGATGGCAAACGGCGAAAGATTTTTTGAACAATGGTCGGGTACTCTGATTAGGCTTTCTATGAAGTGCAACAGTGAAGAACACTGCGTGGTTTTGAAGATCGAAGGATCACGGGAAAATGTGAGTATTTCTATATCAGACAAATATTTGTGGGAATTGTAGCATGCATATAAAGTTACTTTTTATAGGACATAGGCCGGCAGTTAAAATGCTGCATGGAATATCATTATGCAAATAGTGTTATTTAATTTCTTCAACTTACTCCAATATTTTTCTTAAGTTTATTGCTACAACAAAGAGACGAAACCTCGGCATAAACCTTTATTATTTGTTGCTTGATCCATATTCATACGGAAAGCTCCCTCACCCTGACTCAAACTCATTGAGTGTGATACTTCAATTTTTTTATGACGTTTCCATGGTGGAATTCCACTCGAATGAAAGCTTGATTTTCAGTTTTTTACCTTGAATCCTTTCACTTGTTGAGAAAAATCTTTCACATTGATCAATAATATTAAAATGTTAAGTTTCACACTCAATAAGTGTGAGTTAGCTTTTTGAACACAAGCGTAATTACGACTTAGTCACAATATAATAGCCCGCTATGTCTAACGGGACTGCAAACCCGAAATAGTCGCTCTAATAGTTTCCCTCTAATAGATAAATCTTCCCATCTATCACTATAGAAAACTCAGAACGTTTCGTCACCAACAACGTCAGCGTTAAATAGCACAACAACCTCTGACAACTCAACATCCTCTCCTGATGGTTCACAAATGTCTTCGATGTTTTTTATTGTTCCTGTTGTTGTGTTCTTTTGTCTACTTATTGTAGCACTTGTTATTATAGTGTACTATCGACGGCGTGGTAAAAGGTGCGTACGTGACGATTATTGCGTATGTTAACTCTTATCAAATAAGTAGTGCAGTTTTGTGTGCGACTTTCATCTTTTAATAGATGTGAACGAGTGGATAAGTTACGGATGTGCAATTAATAGCATTTAACAGCAGTGCTTAACACTGATCATGCAGAGCAGTAATTCTTAACTATTATTCTTAACGTATCTTTATATTGTAGAGATTTCGAATTCCAGAGACTTTCTCTGACCTTAAGAGCTTCAAGAAGTATATAAATCGATGCATCGGTCCATACGACTGGACGACTGACTCCTTGATTTGCCGCCATTTTGTTTGAAAATTTTTGCCGTATTTTTTTTGATATTCGTTTAGACGATCAAATTTTGACGTTTGTCATATTTTTTTTGACGAGAAAAACTGACAACCCAGCTTTTGAACAAATGCATTTGTCAAATAAAATTTGCTGCAAATTCCTAATTTACACGGTCAAAAAACATTTGATAAATGAAATTTGACAAAGAAAATTTGGTCGTGTAAAAGGGGCTTAACACTGATCATGCAGAGCAGTAATTCTTAACTGTCTATACTCTTTAACATCTATCAAAAGGAGAAAATCGCATATAAAAGCACGTCATGCAAAGAGGCTTTAAAGCACATAGCTAAAGTAAAAGGTACTGACACTTTCTCCCCCGTCTGTCGTATTAATTATAGCAGGACCAGTTGGGGCTGGGAATTATAGTTGGTTAAAAACTGACCGTATTCAGTTGTCATACCATATTTAATATACAATCTTCTAAATCTGCCCACGCGATTGGTCAAGATCAATCACGTGGTTTTTTGTTGCCTGGCGACAGATCATGCGATATAACCAATGAAGATTGTGATTTATTCGCAATAACCCATGGAAATCGTGGTTTTTTCAAAATTAATATACAATCTTCGTGCATTGGCCTAAATCAACTCGATTGGTCGAAATCAACCACGCGATTGGTCAAAATCAACCACGTGGTTTCTTATTGCCTGGTGACAGATCATCACAGTCTGTCATAGATCTTCAATGCAGCAATCAATGAACTCAGATTGTATATTAAAAATGTTAGAGATTTTATGTTCGTGTTTTGTTTACAAATAAACGCACTTGCTGACAATACATTGAACTCGAAATTTCAATATTGAATTTTCTCGTTCATTGACATTGTATGGTCAGCGCGTGCGTTAATTTATTTGTGAACAAAACACTCAAAAAAGTTTCTAACCCCTAAATACCTTACGATACACGTTAAAATTTATCCTAATTTCAGTTTTTTTATATATTAATATCCTATTATAAAGGTTAAATTCAGAGGAGGATCATCGTCCTTACGAAGGTATGTGCATATTTGATGCATTTGCACGAAAACTTCACATATTTTTATAAGTTTTAAAAAATAATAGGAATGGCCAATCTATGATTACGTAAAGCTGTGCACTTTAACAAATTGTTCTGCATGTATACCTTAAGAATGACAGAAACACATGTACAGTGAAGTCAGAAGTGAGCACTCGAACTACACAGGAGAAACTCCCATTGTTGTGACCATTTAGTATTCCTATGTGTATGTGACCATCAATTTAGTATTCCTTTTTTAAATATTATTAATTCATTATATTTATGTCATTTTTCAGATTCCTCAGCAAAGCCATTTGCGTGTTACGAAGATCCTGCTCTGTTCACGGCGGAAATGCAGGGACTAACTCCATACGATAGTCCCGGAATCACGATATGTTCTGGGAACCATTACGAGCGGCCTAAAGACGGCCCGGACCAACCGATATCCCGCCAAAATGGTAAAGACAGTAAAGAATTTCAATACGATTACGCAACACGCGAGGAAACCTCCCAACTTCCACACATACTAAACGGTGACATAACTTTAGCGGACGAAACGTCTGGTGCCGCAAAGCCTCGCCGGGAACAAAATTCCGATTCACTGCAACCAAGTGAGAAACGAGAGCAACGCATAGTGAAGACACCTATCTATCAGACTTTAGAAGAAGACTCGCCCGAAAATGATAGTAATAAATCAGCCTACGAAGAACCACACAAAAATCCAAACTCACGTGCAAGCGACAAACCCGTCTATTACACTTTAGAAGAAGATTCGCCCGCGGTTGATGATATAATATCAGCCTACGCGACACCGCACGAAAATAAAGACTCGTCCACAAGCAGCAAACCTATCTATCACACATTAGAGGAACATACACCCTAGATTCATGTTGCAGCTGAGAAACTGGAATATTGTAGAATAAAGAAACCCATCTTCCAGGCATCAGAGAAAAAACACACCATAATCAATAAACACGCCAACCTCGTACCCAGGGTCTTTTACCTCAGCTCCTTGGTACGAGGTTGTAAACATGCGTGCAGGACACGATAAATAGCAAAAGAAAAAATTATTCATATTTCCACAAATGCGCATGCATGTTCCCAGCGTTAAAATTTGGTTAGTAATCTGGGTTAGTTATCTTTTTTCAGTAGAAATTCTGCCATTATTCATCGCTGGGTGTGTTTAGTGTTCGTAACGATAGTAACTGAACATTAATACAATTACTCTTTTTCACGTATAGCTATATATAGTAACATGTAATATAAGAACAACAGATCTTAATGTTATCCAAAATTTTTTAAAAATATATTTTATGCTAATGATGTTTTTAAATAATAATTATCATTTTGGCAGCCAAGACTTTGACTTGCGCGTGTGACACTCGCGCGCGTGTCGCGCTTACGTTGTTTACCTTGAAAAAAATTAAACAATTTTACGAATTGTTGGTCAATGATCTATAGCTTTATTAATAATTCGCCTGATGAAAATCCTTCGGCAAGTTGGATGTTTAGACTATAAAAGTATTCCATCACATGAAACAGCACGACTGTGAGCGCACGTTTAGTAAACCTGTGATGATTTTTTTTTATTTTATGGATACAAGCCAGGGCCGATAATAGAGAGATAATTTGGAGGGGTATTTTACTGTGAACTAAAACACTCGTAGAACTCATGTACGCCACAACCATAGAAATAATAGACATTACGTCACAACCATAGAAATAATGTCTATTATTTCTATGGCCACAACGCCACTACTCTCCAGGACCCTGCGCCGAGGTGCGTATTTTCCGTATAATGCGTCACGCCATAGATTCATATATATTCACAGACTGTAGAGTGTACAATATCCTGTATTCCTGTTCTGTTCTATACACGTTCTATACTCGATCCAGTTTCGGTCCTGCATGTTACCAGTTCCAACTTTATACCAGCAGCGCCTGACAATAAGTATCTATGTCTGTATCGATGGCTTATCGATGTAAGCCGTGCAAACACAAGTTCTATCCCGTACGAAAAGTAATCGTACGTATCATAGTGAATCGATTATCGTGTCAACGTGGCATAATTGTATTATTTAAATAATCTGATCAATAATTTGGTTCTGTTTTGTAATGGGAAATTATGCTTTTGTTAGTAGCAGTAGTACCAGTAGAATAAATTTGAACTCGTTTATTGAAATATTGCAGTGTTTAAAACACACAAATGTTTAAAACGAAACCATAACGTTGGCCCTCTCAAAACGACGTGTCTTCGCATGGTCACGTGACCACTCTTGCACGACAAAACTAACTAGGGGGGAGGGGTGCTTCCCGCAAATGTCTATACCCCTCGCACTTTTCTAATGAGTTTTTTGTCACACAAGCAAAAATACGGCCCATCCTAAGAGAATATAATTTGTTTCACATCTCTCTTTGATCAGCATCAGAATTTTCACAGCCAGTATTATCCGCCCATGGGTAGCACGTATAGCTAAATTATGACCACTCCCTAATGCATAACATTTCCGTTTTCGATATTGGCACTATACCGGAGTTTACATCCTGAATAGCACCGCCAAAATGTCTAACTTCACAATTCTCACTTCATCGACAATATATAATGTACACAGCTTCGCGTGATTTCAGCTCATTCCCGACGTCTCAGTTAAATATTTTATAATGAAGATAGCACATGGCTGTTTCAGAAGCGGGATACTTTTCATAAAACTGTTATTTTTTGTCGTTCACGTTCAGTTTAGTGAACCAAGAGGAACTTTGCCTAAAATTGAGCGTGGCGTACAAGACTTAATCCGGTATGGTGAAAACTATCATAATATGGTAAATATTACAAATCTCGAAACTATGACATGTGATCATGAACAGAAAAGTTGCAGGTGCGGAAAAAAATATGGTTATAATACTGTCGTTTATAACACCGATGAGAAAATTGTAAAATGTATAAAAGACGAAGATGTAGCTGGTGATATAGTTGGCCATGGTAAGTAAATCATGTTTGTTATTCATTTGTGTACTATTGAAATTGGCAATGATAAAGCATATTTAAACATTTATTACTTGAAAACCACTTGTTGAGAAATCGTTCGTTTGAGAAATATTCGAATTAAGAACAGTCACGTTGAAGTATTTTATTAATTTACAATTTACATGCATTCCGTATATTGATATATTTATTTATGTTTATGTTTATATATGAAAAATAACATACAAAAGAAATAAGTTATAAGAAAAAAGAAGTATAGAATTTGCATTCCCCCCCCCCCCCCAATTAAGGGTCTCACAAGGTATAGCCCTGCTATAGAGGGTGCTAGTTTAAAAAACAACTGTCTGGCCATGCAAGTGCATCATTAAAATTTTTCTTGCCTTGACAGATGGAAGCTATTTGAAAAACGGCAAAGGAGAATGTTTAGGAGTAAAAAATAGGATCATTTCTACAAGAAAATGTTCTAAGGATGATCTTTCTCAACGTTGGTTATGGACAGGAGTCGGACATATACTAAATTTAAAGGCTCTTAAATGTTTGCAGTGGAACACTTCTACACGAGAATTCGAAACAGAACAGTGCAATGCAGCAAACAATGTCCAAAAATGGAAACCTATAGATATGGGGAAGACCTGGAAAGTTGCCCTGTCAAACGATGCTCTAAATTCCAGACCCCTTTTCACTAACTTCACAGGGAGTGTGCCAATGAATAAAGGTAACCGTGCTTGTGTTATATATAATCATAAGAATGCGTGATTTGTTTGAATGCCCACCCACGTTTCGACCAAAACTACTTAAGTTGCATCTTTTCGTTATTTGTCTACCACCTGAAGATTCCTATATACACGGATGAAACCGACTGTAGTGGAAGCGTTTCGCTAAGCAAAACTTCTATAAATTATTTCAAATTCTATCTATATGGTATTGGCACCATCGTATATGTATTTATACCACCTTTCCTATAGGTTGTTATCGCTTTTTCCGAGATGAATTGATGGTCGTGGTGAAGAAACGAAACTGTAAACAAGTTTTTCACAACAAGAACTGTCACATCAGCCTGACCATCAACGCACCAATTTTCTATACACAAAAACCAGCTTGCAATATTATCATATGGAAAAACTCCATGTATTCGGTATTTGGTGAGAAGTGGAAGCCATTTTCGCTAAAAGATCCTGAAATGTTCACGTTGAATTCCATTGATACAGAAAGAACCTCTTTAAATGTGAGAAGTATTCTAGCTATATATATAGCTATATATATATAGCTATATATATATATATATATATATATATATATATATATATATATATATATATATATTTATTCATTTACATAATTCTTAAAAAATTGGCATCGCTACTCTGAGTTTCATGCCACAGAGGCAATCATCAGGCGACTAAATTTCAGTTCGTTACAAGTTTGATGACGTGCGACTTTCTTGTTTGCGCGTGCGTTTGAAGTTTCCTGCCCAGAATTTTTCTCGGTGGCGGCACTTGGCGAAGATCTCTGATCTTTTGTTCAGGAGTTTGTTTGCGTCACCCTGCAAAAGACACAGTTTTTCTGCAATACAGAGGTTGCATCGTTTAGCACCCGGCGAGTATGCTGGCGCGCGTTTTGCGATGGACCAGGAAAGTGTAAACTTCTTATTATTTTTTTTAAATTCCAAATATACTTTGAAAGTTCAGTTTCCTTCTCGTACCTGGCGTGGTTAAAGGACTTTTTATGGTTGCTGAATCTTGATTTAAACGAATTCGCGGTCATCCCGAGGTATTGCTTGGTCTCATCTTCGCTATTTAATTCAATTTCGGCTGAATAAACCACGTTCTTAGATAGGCACTTTTGGTCAAGTGGACATTGTGAGGTATTTCTGCAGTTACAATAACGGGGTAGTTGCTCCTCAGCAGCTTGGTTCAAGATCTTGTTGTTGTGTCGTGATATGATGTTTTTCACGTTTGGCATGCAACTGTAGCTAACCTTGACTGTGTTTCGGTTGAACAGCTTGTGCAGAGGGCTAGAAATTGGAAAATGCTTGTCGATGAGTCGCAGGAAGTCTCTGGCAACATTTGTTTTCACGGATTTACTAAACGGAGGATTGAACCAGATTACGTTTCTCCGCCGTGTTCTTTTACGTGAAGGGATTGAGGTGATTTCGGGATTACTGGGGGAATATTTTAATTCAGCATTAAAGTGGCTTTCTTTAAGTGCACTTTCGTAGACATGTTTACAAGCGTCAAAGGATTGCTGATCGGAGGATAAGGAGGATACACGTTGGTTGATGGATTTAGGAATTTGCTTAATGATAGACGGTGGGTGGTTTGATTGGCTGTTAATATACTGAGGGTCATTGTTTGGTTTTCTGTATGGTGTGAATTTGCCGTTGTTCAAATTAAGGGTGATGTCTAAGAAATTGACGATCTGGTGGTTAACCTGCGCTGTGATCTTTAGACCGATTTTGTCAAAAACATCGAATAAATTCTTTCTTGCAACATCAGCATCTCGTCCATTAGTGCCTGGAATTAGCGCCAAACCATCATCGCGGTAAAGTCCAACATTATCATTCCCCAACTCTTGTGTTAGCGTATTGAGAATGAACAGGCCGACTAATTCACAAATCTCCGCCCCATCGAAACTTCCCATAGTGACATCGAACATGGAATCGGCGTTCCGTTTTACCCAGGGCATATCTTCCTTAAACAGCAGAGATTTTCGTGCATGCTGGATAATAGTGATAATAGTTATTAGCGATGCCAATTTTTTAAGAATTATGTAAATGAATAAATATATATTGCTCTATTTGCTTGCAGTATTGAGCACTCTTTTATCTCATACGAAGAATTTCTTAATAATTGTTTATATATATATATATATATATATATATATATATATATATATATATATATAGCTATATATATATATATATATATATATATATATATATATATATATATATATATATATATATATACACCCATTTGCAAAAACGTTGGCCGCGGATAGATAGATAGATACTCGAAGTCTAATTATATAGAATTGCATATGATTACATTTGCATGGGATTTCAATCATATTACACAACATATGCCATTATTGAGGCTTAATAATTGAGGCTTATATGTATTACTCATATCAGTTAGTTACTCTACCCAATCAGGAGTCACAAAATCTCAAATCACAAACCAAATTGTACGTAAGAGACCGTGGCACAACAAAAGTTCGGCAGAGCTGTAGCATTGAGGCGAAAT